CCTCAGTGTGTTTCTATGAATTCGAACAGAATACCCACAACAGCTCTACTGTAATCAACTTGCTGATGTGTGAAGTCCAGACTAAACACCTGGATGAATAACAAAGATATAAAGCCAAATACAAAACCCTCCAGGCTGGGCTGTCACGGTTTGGGTTCACGTATTGTTTTATTTTGTAGTTTCATGCCTCTGGTGCTCCCGGGTTACATCACTTCCTGCCTTCTCCTGCCGTCCCCTGTGATTGTCTGCCGTGTCATGATTGTTTCCACCTGTGTCCAATCACCTGCACCTTCCCACTGTATTTAAGCCATGTGTGTCTCTTGTTGCATCATTGTTGAAGGTTCTGGATGTTGAAGCCTGAGTGTTCCTGGTTCCCGGCTGCGGTTTTTTTTTTTTACCCCTTGGCCTTTTTTTTTTGTATTTGGAGTCTGTGCTTTTTGCCCCCATTGACTTTTTGATTTTGAAGTCTTGACTATTAAAGTCTTTTTGTTTTTGAAAACTCTGGGTCCTGACTCCCCCGCTTCCGGACATGGGCGACTTGAGGTTGAATTGTCCCGCTGTTGTCGGCCATTCAGAGAGTAAGTGAGTCACGACTACAGACCTTCCACGTTGACTTCATTTTCAAATTATTATTAAAATTGCCACACACCTCCTACAAAACCTTCATTAATCCAGTATGCCTGCCATGTGCAGGAGGGGCCCGCATGGAATGCATGAGTCCCAAGCTGCGGAATTATGAATAAAGCATAAGTCTCTTAAAACTCAAATGTCTTTCAATGTGAGATTACTAGAAACTAATTTTCATTTTCCTTGAACATGAATGGAAGATGTACTGTTTACATTGCATTGTCAATTCAAATCAACATCTGAATATTGTCCACTGTACGGCAGGGTATGACTTATAAATAAAATGTCCAACTGCTTGTCCAGTTTAGTCTTAAAATGGTAGAAGTAGTACAAATAGAACTATTCAAGTTTATCTTACGATTGTCAATGTGAGTCTGCTCGCGTGGCAACCGCGTGAATTCACTGTACTCATATTCTGATGGTTGTAACACATGTGCTGCCAGTCTGCCGCTTTGTTCTGTGGGTCTTAGCAGTTGCCACCGGCGACAGGTGACGAGAGGTGGTTATAGTGTTTGTGTGCTTGCATTTACTGTGTGTGTGTGTGTGTGTGTGTGTGTGTGTGTGTGTGTGTGTGTGTATAAAGGAAGTATAGGAGGCCTGGAGCCTGTGTAAGCTGTGAAAGAGCCGCCCTGCAGCTCGCTGAAATGCCTCTCGTTGTGACAGCAGCTCTGTCTAAACGGCAATCGTGATCAGAGGGCGAGCCCTGCCACCTGCACCGCTGGTCGCCTTTATCGGAGCTCCAACGGGCGCCGGCGGTGAATTAAGTGAAGCCAGTGGGATTCTGTAGGTCACTAACTGAAGGTCTTTCCGAGCAGCTCAACAGGTTTCCCTTCCAAGTCTATTTAAAGCCGAGCAGAGCAACTGAAGTCAAGGCCCGCTGTTTAGAAACGCCGATTTCACTGGAACCTAAATGCGAGAGATTAAAAAAAAGACACGTCTTTGAGTGAGCCGAACTTATCGGTGTAGCAAGTACAACAAATAGTTACAAGTATAAACCCTCAGTAAAATACACTAGTTTCGGTGATTGCGAGGGCAAATGGGTAAACGCAACACATCAATTGGGTTTATTTCCATTCAGCAAAATAAAGATAATGTTGTAGTGAATTAAATGAGTTAACTTCCTCTACAAAGATCCAAGCACACAATTCCCGTCACCAGAACCTGCATCCACCTGTTGAACTGTACCCTACAAATAAAAGGCATCTTACTCTTCCCTACATTCCTCCCTGTTATCACACATAAAGCAACAATCTGCCCTCTCAATGGATTGATCGTCGCAGTGTGTGGCTCCTGAGTGATGTGTGTCGCTGTCTATGCAGCCTTGTTAACCCTTTACTGCAGCTTTATTAGGCGGGTGGTGGTGGTGGGGTGGGGGGGGGCTGCAGCGGGGCGCTCACTGGGATCCTGGAGTGCGTCAGATTGTCTGCGGGCCTGTGTTTGGATAAGGCAGCATGCCCATTGTCTGTGATGCCCCAGCTGGGTCATGGTATGCCTCCATGCTCTTGAAATAGAAAGACAGCTGAGGGCTGCCGTGCATACTGAGGGCAGGGCTGGTCAGGCAGGCCGGGCCCACCGACACGGACCACAGCGTAGGACAATGAGACGCAGTATTGTCTGGAACCAGAGGCTAATCGCTGGAGTATCAAACCCCCAAACCGCTTGCTGAAAGAAAACTAACTTTGCCTTTTATTATTGTGTATATGTGTGTGCATGCGTGCATATGGGTGTGTTTGTGTGTGTGTTTGTGTGTGTGTGTGTGAGAGCGTGTGTGTTTGGATGTCATGGGGGTGGAGTGGGTGTGGAAAAGTAATTGGGGCTTTAGAGAGTTTGTGCCACGCGTCAGCCCGTCTCCACTGTGATGAAGCGATGGCTAAGACCTGAGCCCACACAGTTGCTGCAAGGTATTGTGGGCAGGCACGAGGCGATTACAGAAATATCCACCCGCAGTGAATGCTTTGATCCAAAATGAAACACTGCTCCAGCGCCCATTTTTAGGTTACTGCTGGAGAGTAAAACGGGGAGCTTGATATTTATACCGGTCAACATGCAAAATTATACAGCACATTTTCTTGGACAAATTAAAATTAACGTAAATCCCGTAATTAAACTTGTGTGGTTATAATAATGACCTCTCAAAATGAAATGCACGTCTAGGAGCAGGAGAAAATGCATATCGTGCTGCCCAATATGTGTATTCACATTAAGGACATTTTGTACTTTTTTATTTGGATTCTTTGGAAACATTTTTTTCATGGAAATGCCATGCCAATATTAATATATACATCACATTATTAGCTGGCAATAATTAATAGACAGGACAGAATGATGGAAGAGTAAATAGATGGATGGATATATGAATGGGTAGATGGGTGGTAGATGGATCATAGATGGATGAGAGGCGTGTCTGTGATGATTAAACAGTCATAATTCCCAATCTCTCCACCCGCCGCCTGAGCCTGCTGGCATTCTGTGCACCATGACTCTAAAACAACTATGACTGACCTCCAGATCAAGTCTTTACGACCTAAAACCTGTCCCCTCAAATTGTTGGCAAACCAATCCACCCGAGTGCACTGGGGACTTCGTAGACAGCATCTTGGGCTTGAAACGGCGGCTGGGCGCCAGTCTGGTCACAAACGTGTAACAATAAAAACCTCTAAATGATTTTGAGGAACACTTGGGACGTAAGGAGAGAGGTTGTTCTGAGGAGTCAGCTGTTGCGGTGCAGCAGTGCAGAGAGATGTGCTGGGCGACCGCGCGCTTCACTATGTGTTTGTGCCGTGTGAATGTGTGCGCTTATTTAAAGCCAGAAACTCTTGGGACTTTGGGGTTTCATCTCCCCATGTGTTATCAGCAGGCCGGTTTTTCAAATGGTGCAGCGAGTGACATAGTACATAAACCAGCCTCTGCCTTTCTGAAGAGCCCCTATTCCCAGAATAGCCAGGCCTGCTCTATCTAACTGATGCCCAAGAAAGTTTCAGCCATCACAGGAACACCTCTCAGTCTGCCACGGCAACAGATAACGGCATCAACAAAGATGGCCGCCAAGTCCCGACGTCCATTTAGGAGATTGTTTGTTTTCTCGTTTCACGCGGGGAAATGGAACCGCCGCGTTCAAAGCGAGTCCACGGGTTTTCGGGGGGTTTGGTAAAAGTTAAATCGCCTCCGTCGGCAGCAGGCGGCCGTCTCCGGCTTATCGCGCCGGCGTCCTGCAGAGTCCGACCAACGCGGCCAACCGTTAACAGTCAATCTCCCTATCAGGAATGCTGGACTCTGGCTTTGTCTATTCTGAGAAACTGTGGTCCCGCTTCCCTCCCCCCTCGCTGCACTGTCACCCCGCTCTCATACCAGGCACCCACCTCTCCCCTTGCTCTGAAGGTCAGATCTGGTGAAAAAGAGAACGCAAAACGCGCCTTCCCAGCCGGCCTTCTACGTAGTTATTAGTTCTATCACATTTGTTTTTTACTCACATTTTAATTTGACTCTGTTTTTGTTTGTGTTCAATTGGAGTTGCATTTGACGTGTTCTATTTAAATACGATTTGATTTAATAATATATTCATACACAAAATGACAGCAACTGGACGGGACAGTTGGATAGTTTCCATGATACTCACGGTTTCCATCAGAGGCCAAAGGTGTTGAAGCTCCGCGTGTCGCTGGCAGCAGCTTCGCATTAGCAATCTGAAAAATTGAAATGAAGTTGAAGATCTTTCATCGCACACGTTGAACAAATCGTCGCTCATGTTTATTGCTTTGAAATGGTCGAAGAGTCCTTATTGCATCAGAGCCACGTCCCCAAGTTTCTCACTATTAATATAATGTTGTGTATTTATAGTGGCATGTTTAATGCCACACAGCTCCAGAAATAATCTCTTCTAAGGTTGCATCCTCTGTGGCCAAACACAATAGCAAACATCCCCACCGGGCTGTTACTTAGAGGCCAACATGAGCGCATAAGCATCACCTGAAGTGGGAACAGTGTTTATCAGGAGGTGGAGTAAAAATACATAAAAGCTAAGGTGCATTTCTAAAACTACTAACTTAGTGTCTTAATATTCTATGCACCTAATTTGGCTGTTTTCTTTCAAATATTCGTTTTCATTTACAGATTGCGTTTTGGTGTGTCGGCACACGCGCACTGCCCTTCAAAACCTGCGATGTAACCCCCCCCTACGGGGATGCTGCACATGCGACTCTCTCCCACTCCCTCGCACTGTGTACAGTGCATAAAATAACTGGGATACAAAAATAGCCGGCTTGGGTTTTGCGCAATGACAAAAACGTAGCTTTCCTTTTGTGTCAATTGTCAGCAGCGCTCCGCACCAATCGGCGTCGGAGGAGGCGGCATATGCTAATGACGGACAAATGTCCACTGACCGTGACCTTGAGGACCACAGTATAAAGCAGGCCACATCTCACCGAGGTGTTGTTCCGTTACGGTCGTCCTGAAGTCAGCGGACAACTTTTTTTTTTGTTCGGTAGGTTAAACGGTTCGCACATTACGCGCGGGTTGGGAGCAGTTGAACGGGTTTCGTAGAGGACAAGTGTCCACAGAGCGGGACACGGTTTGCCTTTTGCTGGCAACAATAAGCGCAACAGGTTTCTGTGTTTGTTCTCACTTGTTGGTTTGCGCTCTTTACGCACAGTTCCCTCGCCTCGTCTGTCTCGCTGGCGCGTCGGGTTGTTGCGCCGGAGAGGAGCGGCCGCCGCGTCGCGCTTTGACGTGATGGAATGCGGGGAGGCTGCATCGTTCTTACCCAAGTCGGACCCGGGGACGTCACGCAATGCGGCTTTTGACGGTAGGCCCAGTCTTGTAGGGAGAAATCACATCAATAAATATTCATATCAGAAATTAATCCAGTTTTTTTTTAATTCAGTCGAATTCATATCTGGTTTTAAATGGAAGGAAAAACATTGCAGTTTGCTTTTGGAGTTACATGTGTTGCCTTAAAAACTGATCACATGGCCATTTCATTTTTTTATCCACGGCAAAAAGTTGCAATTCTTTACTGTTTTAATTGTAAATTATTTTTTGTGAAAGTTGATTTAACACATTTTTGTACAATAACACACTCTGATTTGGGGTATTTATTTGTATGCTTTCCAACATCCTCCACTGTCTGCTGTGATGTTAGAGCCTGGGGCCCCGATGAAGCATCCATCGAGCTCACCGGGGACACGTTCAAAGATGAGAGGGTGAGCGACCACCCGCTCTCTATGCAGTAACGAATGAAAACACTACGGTACGATCCCCCCCCCATCCATCTCTGCCTGCCTCCATCCCTTTAGGCTCCGTCAGTGAAGGAGTACAACGTGATCGAAGAACGAGGCTTCATGCTGCGCAACCTGCTGCTCCGCCTGGTTGATTTATGTGAGTATCCCATTATGGGCCAGTGATGTTCCCTTAAGACGCGTCATTATCCAGATTACATTTCATCTGCAAGCTTAAGCGATGACCGTGTTGGCCATTTTGGCTTAAGGGGACGCATGGTGGTGGGTGAATGTTGGGCCATGTCCTGTGTCATTAGACCCACTGCGGGCTCCTCTGTGTCGCCGAATCCACACAAATGTCTCCTCGGCCCCTGAGGCTGCTGCCTATCGGAGGCAAGCGCCGCTCCCAGTCTCTGCCACAATAGATGAATCAGTTCAGTCACAAATTAGAGGAATAAACAGCCCGTAAAAGCAGGTGTATTACATGGAGACGTCCATGCAACCATTTTACAGATTCTATTTTCTTTAATGTTTTTGGCGTTTGCTGGAATCTCTCGGTTTTTCTTTTGTTTTGTGAGATCCATTTGAAACATTTTTTTATTTAAACCACCTTTAACAGTTTGTACCGGTTATGTGTACACTGTTATTTTTTCACACACGTATGCGGAGCATCCGGTGCTGGCAAAACTGTGAACCCTGAAACGTGTCATTCAGAATGCTGCCATTGTGGCAGCTAATGGGGAACCAGCTGCTAAAAAGGGAGGCTTCTTTTTGGTGTGTTTTTATTTTCTGTGTGTGGAAGCTCTTTCCACACACAACTCTTTCTCGCTGATATTTTAACTACTTTATTTTTCCCTCCATGTAACTTTTTAAGGGCTCAAGTTTTTCCCATTATCTTTCCCGTTGCTTTTTACTTTTGTGTTCATTTACTCCTGATGAGCTGTACTCATCACATAAAACAAGGCAGCCATTGTTGCTTTTCACCTACATATGCACGTTCAATTTAGTTTGATAATTTGTTGCTCAATTTTTGATCTTATCTTTGATATTTCAGCAGCCCGGTGAGCCGAGCTACCACATCTACTACCACAGCGCTTAATCATTCGATCTGCTTGACCACCACGTACTACCGCAGGACGGGGACGCCAGCCTGTAAACTTCCAGACCTGCGGCTGGCGTCCTCCGACCCGTACTCCTGCTCACAGGGCTTCATGTCCACCTAGAGATGTGTGGAGTTGTCTGATAACTCATCTTTGCTCCTTTTTACAGGCTCATCCTCGGCACCCCGGTGGACGAGAAGAACTGTCGGCATGCGCAGTCAAGGCCTCATACCTGATGGTGTGTGCTGAATGTGCTGAAGGGACACAACGTCTAACAGGTGAGGTGGTGCAATGTCGGCAATCTGTGTTTTGATTAATTAGAAAATCTCAAAGACAATGAATGATGTTATGTCAGTGGTGAAGTGTAAAATGAGGCACAAACAATAAACCGAAGTGCAGAATGAAATGTGCGCCACACGGTAGAGAACATTCCGCGGGTTCATTTTCCCTTCGTTCTGATTGGATGTGGTACGCTGATGACAGACTGCCGATTAAACCTCGGTTGATCAGGAGCTTCTTTGTGCCTCATCCTGATGAATTAGTAGTGCATTTTCCCTTCTAATGAACACCGTTCACTGCAGCTCAACAGCTCTGAGCAGCTGTGCATCAACTTCCACCACATGTTCATCGTGGAGCAGAAGTACCAGAGGAAGGACAGCGAATGGACTGTCATCGACTTCGGGCTGGACTCTCAAGCCTACATTTATCTCCTTGTAAAGGTAAACAACATAAAGCAATTTCACAGAGAGGCATGTGACACTCCTGCCTGTCTCCAGCCGCTGGGCTTCATGGATGTCAAATTAATCCCCCTGCTAATTACCTCGCAGTTTCCCAGCACAAGATCGGCGGCGAGGAGGAGAAGACGGCAGCCGCTCTCCAGGCCGCGTCCCAGCTTCACGAGGTGAGACTGACCCCACTGGGCTGAACCATCCACGACTGAGGAAGTCGTGGATGGTTCGGAAGTCGGAAGGAAATCACAGGCATCGTTGGACAGCTGAGACGGAGGCAGTTAAGACTTGCAGTGATGTTTAGGGCAATGATCACATGAACATCACTCTAAGTCTGTGCTGGCTCCTCTCTCCTTTGCATCAAGCGTATCCCGTGTGAGGAACTCAGTCCTGCAGAATTGAACATTTTATATGCTGATATTTTAGTTGGAATAGGATTACAGATTCGTGTAACTTGATTTGTGGTGTCTTTGATTTCCAACAGGAAAACCTGAGCGAGCTGATGACCGACCTACGCAGCTCCCGGCCTCACTCTGTTCGCTGCGTCATCAGTGATGAGATCCGCGTGGCGAATCCAAGTGGTATGAACCTCGTTGAGATCACTTGTGGAGATCATGGCTTCGACTCTCAGTAATCTGTCATAAAACGCTCTTATTTTACCTTTCAGCTATCGCGTCCTGATGGTTTTTGGACAGCAGGAAAGCTGTGCAGAAGCTGCTGTCCTCGTGGGGACCGACCACAGCCAGCATGAGTCTGGACTCACAAAAAGGTGGGAAGTATAAGCTGGACTGCAGTAATCTTTAATTAAAAATGCTTGTGGCAGATTAATGAGGAAAGAGCTGAATAAATTCTCACAAATGGCATAAGATAACTTTTTCCTCTTACTGACTACATCCGTCGTCTTCACAAGCAAACAAAACTTTTTGAGCTGGATTCTTCACAGGAAAATGAAAGCATGAGACGTCCTCCAACAGTTGCTCTTCTGAACAGGTTCAATAGCAACACAATGCACCGCGAGCCTTTCAGCTTGTGATATACTACACCTTAGTGTTCACTCCCTCGCTCTACTATGCGCGGCATGCAAGGGCAGCGTTATCGGCGTGTGTGCGGCGTGCGCTTGCCCTTGTGTGGTTACCAGGCATGTGTGTGGCCTCACTGTTAATAAGAGCCCCATCCCACGTACACACACACACACACACACACGCACACACCTCTCGCAGGTCTCCGTCCATTCTCTCCAACCAGCCTCTCTAAGTGAAACAATGCTGACGGTGTCCTCAGAGCCAGGGGGCGACATGTGTCAAGTGGCAGCTGCTCGGGCCCTCCCCTAAAAATACAACCCCCCCGGCCCCCTTCTCTGGATGCCCGATGGCCCCTGGCCCCTTTTGTCTGCGGCGCCTGCACTGACGGGATATGTGGTGGGTGACGGAGGATTAAAGTCGGCCGTCGGACACTAGGCTTTAGTTTCTAAATAAACACAGACGCTCACCTTTGAGAGTCATGTGGAAAATGCAATCAGCTCCCCCACCCCGACGTGTGCGCGCTCACTCAAACACCCTCTAAACACTGACAGCGAGTCCTTGACCAGTCTCCTCTGGCTCCATATTTAGGGCCGTGAGCGACGCCATTCGACGGAGACTAAATCAATCCGCTAACCCTGTTTGGTCACAGTCACGAAACATCAAAAGCAGCATCAGGTGTATGATTTCATCCCGCATCAGTCTGTGTATGATTAGATACAAGAGTGGGTAGCAGCAGCAATAGAGCCAATAAAAGTAACTAAGTAAACAAACGGGGACCTCCAGGTTGAAGCTTTAGGACCTTCTTCTGTTAAGGTTAAGAGTCCTCCGTGAATTCCGTCACCGTTATTTGGTTTAAACACGTTTTACATTTATTATTGTGCAATACAAATACTATTTATTCAAACGTTTGTTATCTCTAGCCAACTATTGAAACCTTTTATCAATTTGCCTGCATAACTATCTGTTATACAGTTCTTTTAGCTAGTTGAGCAGTTTGTTTTTTTTAAATGTATTTTAACCATTTTTCCATCGCCTTCTTTAAATTGTTAAACCTGTCCTCTTGCTTGTTAACTGCTTTTCCGCTGATTCAAACAGGTGTATATATAAATAAAATCATAACGCTTCTCAATATCGCCACATAAGCTCTAGTTAAGTATAAGTAACCCCTGGGGTGGAAGTACACCTGAAGTGATATAAAACCCTCCCAACCGATCCTTTTGTTTCATCATGCTTGCAGTGAGGCTCTGATGATTAACGCCGTCGAGCCGACGCGCCCTGGATGAAGCGCTTTCAGGAGCAGGACTCCGCATCTTGCGGATGCTGAGGATCGCTGTAAGCTACTCATCCAAACGAAGGTTGCCACGGAGGCCAAGGGGAAAGAGATCGTGGCTAGAAGGACGAGGAGACGATGACCAAGAAGCTAAAGCTGGAGGACAACGGTGCTGAGCTGAAGAGACATTGATGATGTGGAGATCACACTGGATAAACGTGCCACTGAGAACAAGGTATGGAAATTGGAAGTGGAACAAGTTGCCTTTAGAGGGCGCTAGGAATCCACAAAACTCACAGATCTGAAACTCTGGTTATGGACTTGATAAGAAGCTGAAAAAGTGAGCTTTGATATGTTCACAACAATTATAATCTTGCTACTAAGTAGTAGCGATTAACAGGAAGGACTGAAATGAATGCAATCCGCTCCAGAATAGGAGATGAGCTAGCCAAGCTAAGTGGAGAAGCAGCGATGCGATGTGGCACGTGAGCTAGAAGCACTGAGCCCACTTTGGCTCAGACAAGAGAGAAGCAGATCTACTGAAGCTGCTGCGAGACCAGCAGGAAACAGGTCCACCACGAGGCCGCTACGGCTACACGCTTGACAGTGTCAGAGCGACATCAAGCGAGGTCAACTGTTGGTTGATGATCAGACCTCCAGGCAAGGTACACAGAACAATAAGATGCACACACAAAGTAGCAACGAACCAAACAATCAAATCCCTCAAATCTTAAATTTGTATCTTCTGTCTGCAGACCACTTCAGAGAAGATGTCCATCCTCCTGATTGGTCTCCTAAGGCCAAAAAAGTCCTGGCACACACACTGCAATCACCTCGATATAAATGTCGTCTCCTGAAGGAGCAGGAAGCCTCAGCTGAGATGGAGAGACGTTCCACGCCAACGCTCCTCAGTGGAGGACTAAGTATGAAACTGATGCCATCCAGAGAATTTAGGCCCTCTATGAAGCCAAGGTGGATGAGACGAGCTGAAGGTGCAGGTGCCAACGACCGAGTGGCGCACCAATCTATCAGACTGCTGAGGGGGAGGAGCGAAGCGCTCTGCTGAGGCAGAACGACCGTGCGTGCAAGCGAGCTGAGCTGCTTGAGGCCACAGACTCAACCTGTTGCTCTCAGGTAGGACGAAGAAGTTAAAACCATCAGCTTATCAAACAATGGTCCCTTATTTCTGTAGATCTGCAGCAAAGAGGGTGTTTTTAATTTTCCCAGCTAGTCCTTAAACGTAGATGTTTTCTGTAAATGGTCAGGACAACCTGGTCCCGGCTAGCAGAAACCAGCAATCACTGACGTAAGATCTGGAATAGATAGTGATTCACATCATGAAAATTGATCTGCAGGGGGTTTAACAGTAATCTGGAATTTCCAGCCTTCAACATGTTCTGTTCAGTAAGATCACTTATTCAAATGTTCATCCAACCCTGATCTTCTAATCTTGTAGGCAGTGATGATGGCAAAGGAGCTGAAGAAGGAGCAGGACACTAGTGCCCATCTGGAGAGGATGATGAAGAAGAAGAACAAAGGTAAGGCCGATGAGTGGACAAAGCGGAGCAGATCGCCCTCAAGGGCGGCAGAAAGAAGGTCCAGAAGTTGGAGTTGAATGAATTGTTTATAATCTCTGTCATGCATGAATATTCCTCGTATTAGTTTGTAACTTGAAATGGCTTCTTCAGTTTTCTGGTCTGAAAGGTAAAAACTGGAGTATGAGGAGAATCAGGGAGCTCTCCTACCAGGTACAGCAGCAGGGTGGTCGCATAGAAATACATGCTGTAGTGTCACATAACATGTCTTTATATGAGATGCCCTTATGCTCTCTAAAAGGTTAGGAACCAGTCCGCCTTCAGCTCATGGACAAGCTGCAGACCAGGTTGAAGAGTTACAGGCTGAAGCATCAGTGAGTCTAGCATCAGTAGTTTGATATTATTGTACGGTCTGTGATAGACTCGCCTGAGCGCCGCTTCTTGGTTTCCTTCCCTCTGCAGGAGGAGCAGGCAAACACCAACCTCCAAAACCAGCATGATGATGCACAGGGGGGCTCATACGGCCGAATCACAGGTCAACGACATCCAGATCCACACCCGGGACCGGGAAGAAGAGTAAACTGAATGCATGTCATACTACAGTATGCCGCCAAATTGTGTGACCTTTTTAGAAGTATTTGTTCAACGTAGCCAGCGGGCTGCATAACGAGAACTAATCTCAGGCGAGACCGGACGTAATCCTCCGTTGAGGATGAACTCCCATCATGTGATCTCTAGCGCAGCCGGGAGTAACTGGGCGACACTGTGTATGCGGTTGCTAATAAACAGCCCTGTCTTGTGTATTTCAGCATGCTGAGTGACGGGAGGCGGAGAGCTACGGACAAACATGTCACAGCAAGCCAGCTGCAACAGCTGTGCTCCACTGTGACAACACGGCCCAAATAAAGACTTCAGAAATGTACCTTACTGGGCGTTTTCTTTTACCAGTGTGCGATAAAGATAGCAATCCCACAGTGAAGGTCTAAAGAGGAATTTATTATATCATTAATTTGACAAACAGCTGTTAAATAAGGAAAAGTTAAATATACCAGCATTAGAGGAACATGGTTACAGAAGTAGCTATAGTAGAATGTGAAACCTAAAACATTAATCTTCCCCGTTTGTCATTAACCAGTCAATCAATGGTCAAGAAAAAGGTCAAAATAGATGTGTGCAGAGGTGAACCTTTGAAATAACCATGTGGGATTTATGCATTATTCAATGCAAACATGGGTTCTTACCTAAAATTGAATAATTACGAGTACACCATCAACAGTATCCGCTGCTCGCATCTATTAAAGGTCGTTCCCTTCAACAAACGACGGCGGCCATCGTTCATGGTGAGGTGACAATCTTATTTGATCCAAAAAAATAAAGCACCATATGGTCAGTTTAGTGAGTTCAAAACAGTCTTCATGCCAAACATCACATGAATCTCCAGTAAATAAAGTCAAAGCTTCAGGGATCTAAAAATAAGTGATTTGCTCAACACTGCAGCGTGTTCTGGGCCGAGGGGATAACATGTCACCATTTCCTGTACAAACGCATGGATGAAATCTAAGGCCTACTAGGAGCATCACACCACATACAGCATAAGGGTTAGGAACCATTTCCCGTGTGCATCATACAGAGGGATCGCAAAGCTACAGAAGTCAAGGTTCAGATTGTTTATATAGTTGCTCCAGAAGAGCGCTCACAACATTCATGTTTTTCTACCGACTGAGTCATTGACTCCCAAGGTAGAAGACTGGGGTGATTAGGAGGTTTGCATCAATGTTAAACATACTAGGAATATAAACACTGCAGAAGTACCCTGTGTCTCATCGCGTCGTCATGAAACCATGGCAACCATCTCAGGCATCGAGAAAACAAACAATTTCTAATAGAAACACTTGTAAAGTGTACTTTACTCCACTGCAAAGCACAAAAGATGACCTAATTCAAAATATGTGCACACCCATCAAGAGATTTAAGACATGCTGAATTTGGGCTAGAGAAACATTTCTGGTTAATTAGCTTTAAAGCAAATGAAAGGCTTTCAAAGTGTACAGGACGTTTTGTGTCTGTATCCCAAGGCGGCATCGGGTGACCTGTAGAAATGCCCTTATACATTCACATGAACAGTTACGAGTCATGACATGCAGGGAGTAAAACTGTACACTTGACGTTAGTGGTTTAATCCGTACGCGTCGGGACAGAATATGAGGTAGCTCATCCATCTGTTCTTGTATCGGGTCGCTTTAATTCGAGACACTGGATCAGCCCTGCATCTTCCACTTCGATAAAAACAGCTGCACATTCAGGCCCCAAAGCTTCATCTTTATCGAAACCAAAGACCAAGTGGGCCGACGCAAACAGAGCCATCGCATCTCATTGAGCGAGACCAGCGACGGCGCTAGAAGCTCAATCCAAAGCTGACGGGGTGAAGCTCGAGCGTTTGCACTGGAACAATTAGAGCGGTTTGTTAAACACTAGCGCCTGCATAGTTTATTCTCCTCCCAAAGCATCTCCCACAACATGGATACAAGTTCGGTTACAAAATGAAAATGTTTTTAATGAACAAAATATGGTAAAACATAAAACAATAATCTGTGCAATGTTTTATTCTACAGTTCATCCATGAGCTAAAATCCATTGTTTTCAACAACACAAAAGTAAATCAAAACCAAACGGGGTGAAGAAACGAGTCCCTGGGTGAAGCCACAACGACGTGGAGGGTTTAAGGTGAGAGGAGCCGCGCGGGGTTCCTAAAAATGGGCCGAGTGGAGCCGGACAGCTCTGCTCAACGAGAGCCACCTAATAAAATAGACCCAGACGGGTTAAATGAAAACTGTTCATTGAGAAAACTACCCCGCTCCTCCCCTGCTCCCGCTGGAGTGGCATGGAGTCAGCAGTGTGTGGGGAGGAGGGGGGGCCGTGAGACCTGCGTGTCCGCACAGCGGCTCCGGCCGTTCTCAAACAAAGCCTGCGCAAAAGGAGAATTGTATTTTTTTTCCCATATACTGACATATACTCTGAATCATACTTTTTTTTTTTTTTCATAGAATTTTATATAGGTTATATAAAAAAGGCTCTATTTGAATTTCACCTAAAGCAAACAACCAACGCAGGCGTCATCACCCTTAAGCGTGTGTCAAGCGGTGACGGCGGTCTGGGGGAGGGAGTGCTGGTTTCCACCTCTTCCTCTGAAGAAGAGTTTGGTACTTAGCGAGGAGAGGACGGCCCGGCGAGTGCGGCCTCAAACGGGACGGTACGGACGGGAAACAGTCTTTGCATCCACAACGCAGTCACGTAGCGCCCGGGCGGCTCAGCGGGATTCTTCACCAGCTTTAGGTGTCCATGCTCCCTCTGGCCGTCTGCCCAGTCCCAACCACCCCCCCCCGACCCCCGACCTCCCATGCACTCACACCGCGCACACAGGAGGTCAATCTTCCAGCAGGTCTCTGTCAAGATCCATGAAGGGCTCGTCAATGTAGCTGGCTATGGCACACAGAGAAGTCCTATCTGAGCCCAGCAGCACCGACACCGTCTCCTTCCAGTAGCTGAAGGGGATGCAGGAGCTCTGGGGAGGGAAAGCGGAGCGCATTCAGAACGACGGAAAGCGTGAGCACATCGGCCCATCAGATATGGAGTTAGCTGACGACTTGATCAATGAAAAGAATTCAAAAGGGATCAAAACCATGTGCAAAATGAGTTTGACACACCAAGAGGTGTGTCAAACTCATTTTAGGTAGGGGGCAGGGGGGGTGCGCGCATGGTACGGTCACTAGGTACACTTAGCAAAGTCGCACTGGACCCCCCCGGCGGGCCAGATGCTGTATGTTTGACACCCCTGGTGTACAACATCTACCTCTTTTGGGGGGTGTATAACCCTGGGAAACATTTATGTTGAAGCAGCTGTAATTTCGATTGTTTAGCCACTTGGGGGCAGTGGAACGAGCAAACACAAAACACTGACGTCACCGTATCATGGTTCCAGCAGTTAGGAGATACACAAGCATTACTTAAGCGCTTCTCTCCACCTGGAGATGGTTTTGATCGGACCCAAAACGATGTGCTCTACAGTCGCTTAGTGCTCCAATTAGTTCACTCACGAAGGTCTCTGTTGTAAACCGCCACAGACCATTTAGTTCTTATGCAGACTTGGTGGCCATGGAGTTGAGCAGACCTTTGTGTTAATATTTACCCCCTGCAGTCTTAGAGAGAGTATCCCAAGATGTGGTATAAACATAACGGTGAAGTAACTTGCTTGTAGAGTTAAATCAGGGGTTCTAAAATAGACTGCAATAAAAGGATCAGCTTATGGGGGGTTTAAAAATACTTGATCATCCAAACAATCTATGAGCAGGCTAATATCCGACATTGAAAGATCACACTCACATTCAGCCTCTAGTAGAAGAGTCACTGAGAGCCATAGCAGTGTGTTTTTATCGTGGGCGCTACTGCAGGATTAAGTCTAGTAATGTCCCCGCAAGGACGCTAAAGTTTAGCTAATCTTGTCTACACTTGATCTGTCTGCCGGTTGTTGCTGGGCCTGTATTGTACAGATCTCACACTGTGTGAGGGGCAGTTTGAGTTTGTGACGGGAACCCTTCCACATTGAAGATTAGCCAATTTAACCATTTGCTTACGTAAAAAAAAAAAAATCCTGATTAACGCAGCCTAAATACAGCTTCATTGCAAAGACCAAGCACAAGCCCCTCTCCACCTGGACACGTGGACCAGCACCACAGCCTGCCGGAGGGCTTTGCTAGTGTGAGAATTACAGAGACATAAAAGTAGCTGCTGTTCCTAATCAGTCCACTGGGGGTCCAGGTCCTCCAGACAGGTACCATCAGGTTGGTGAAACAAGAGACACAGAAAGATGATTCTATAGCAGAAACAACATGGAAGCTTAAGTTGAGAGGATTCTTCTCAATGTTTGATTTGATTCTGTTACAGAATACTTTGCTCAACCCGCCCGAATCAGATTTATTGAACATAAATTCACAACATCGGCCAATACTTGGTACTGAATACGACTACATTCACATTCAAAAGTGTTGCATTTGTCTTTCAAGTCTCCCTCACTTCAAGATGTAAGAGGACATGGGGAATTGGGAGAAACAATATTTTGCATTCTCATCCTCCTCCTGAACACTGTATTAAAGAATTGACCTTTCAGAAGAAACCTGTGATGACTTTGTTGACTATTAAGCAATGTTTATAAATTGGCAGAGGGATTTTATTTTAGAATAAAAATCAACTCAGAAATGAAAGAGGGCCACGTAGCCAAAGTGTTCCTTTAGTGAAAAATGGGGTATAATTTTTGAATCATTTCCTGCAGTGGAAAGTACGTTTAAAAGCCCCAACCTCTCCAGTCATGCAGGAACACGTTTTATATACACACAGAACACAACTTTCTCTTAAGTTTGAACCAAAACGGATGTCTAAACCAGTTGTTCACACTTCAGTTCCAGTAACACACACGAGGGTGTCTGTGGCTGCAAGCATGCGTACATGAAAAAGGTCCCTGTTGCAATGTTCGGAACATGTGACAGAAAAGAGCCTGAACGTTAACAGGAGACGCTGAGAGCAGACTGACATCGTGCTGCTGACTTTGGCGCCATTTAATCATTTAACGACGCTATAATCATGCACAGGCGAGAGCGAGCGCCACTCACGTTCTCCAGACAGGTGCTGTCTTTGTCCTTGTTGAGGTAATGCCGCTGCCAGAAGCGCAGTAAGTTGTGGAAGTTGTTGAGCAGGAAGCCCGGGTACTTGTCAGCGTACTCCTTGTCGCGCAGGGCGTTGAGGTAGAAGGGCAGTTTAGCCTTCCTTCTGGCCAGCATCAGGACCACCAAACTGGTGTTTAAACAGCTCACATTCTCCTGCAGGAGAAACAAGACGGATGCAGGAGGGAACAAGATTTATGCGATGCACCATTTTAGATATAAATACAGAGACACTCCTAACAAAGTACCTTCAGCTACATTTAGCATTTTCATTGATTGTTATTGAAGTTCAAATGGTCCACATGTTGTTTTGTTAAATCTGTGAGTAAAAGAATATTAGAAGCAAGACCTGTGTGAGCGTCTGCACGTTAATGATGTTGATGAGTCGGAAGAGGAAGGACAGCCTGTTCTCAACTTTGGCCATGTAGGACAGCAGGCAGCATTCAGACAGCACCTCCACCACTGTGAACGACACACAACGGACACAAATGTAATTACAAGGACATCATAGGAGAAGCACCTCTGTATTTAACAGGCGAGTAAAAGGAGTTTTCCTTTGACAATATACTAAACCTCACCTTGTTTTTACATTTACACAAGTCACATGGCAAACTGTATCCATCTTCTTTACCTCAAGAATCAAACTGTATATATATCTAAACTTTAGCTATATTTGATCAAATAGTACTCTTAACAGAATAGGAATACGTACCCAAACGGGTGAATCAAACTAGTCAAAGATCCACATTCAATTGATCCAATACTTAAAAAATAGTCCAGTATTTTTGCCTTTAAATGTTCTCTATAATCTACATTTGTCAACTTTCCATCCCAGATTACCTTTGACGTCTTCAGTCAGATTTTCAAAGCGGTCCAACGAAAGGACGATGCAGCGCACCAGCATGTTGGAGTCCACCAGAGAACTGTTGATCTGCGTCAGGAAGGTCTGAAACTGTCCAAGTGAGAAACGTTTAGTGGTGCAGCCATAAAGAAGAAAGAAATGAGGTAAAATATTTATCTTACTTATGTTTTATTAGCTGCTAGTGTAAAGAAGTCATAATTATTCTCTAGTATCTATTACAATATCTATTTCTGTGCATTAATACCTTCTTGGGGGTGTTGACATATTTGTTGAATCTTTTGAAGGCATCAATGTTGAACTTCATAAGCTCCCCCAGCAGATCAAAGTAGCTCTGTAGGACATCTCTTGACGTACAGCCACTGTCTATGATGCAAAACAGGATGTGCTGTCGAGGGACGCAAGCAGAAAGTGAGCAGCCAGTCTCTCAGGAGAGGATCTGTGCCATGCGGACAGTCTGCATGGATGGCGAGTCAGGTGCGGTTTTACCTCCAGCAGTCCCCTCTTCAGGAGGAACATTTGGTCTGCATAGGAGGTGGCTCCTCGGAGAAAACTTTCCACTGCCCTTGCCTGCCAGAACCTACGTACACAACAGAAAGCTCCAGCTAAGATATAAAAAAGCAGAACTAGAGACAAATCTTGAGAAATCTGGAAAATACAAGAGCCTGGTGCCCCAGAAGAGGAACTCTTTAGAGAAGGCGGACCACTTAAATTATCAACATATTTATCTCGCGCATCTCATTCCTTGGCCTACGCGATGCTGACCTGAACGACGAGTCCGGAGGCTCCCTCTTCATGACGGTGAGGAGGCGCGTGAGGAGGCCTTTCTTTCCGTCACAAACTAGGCTTCTGTCTGTGTTGACTAGTGCTTCCACCTCCGGGATGTTAGCCTTCATGGATATGGCGCTCAGTTCGTTCAACTCCTGGCTATTCAGTAAGAGGTATTTGTTCCTGAAACAGATTAAAAAGATTTTAACAACGGAAATAACTTGTTCGGAAAAGGGTCCGACCCCGAGGACGTTCAATCAAAGGTCACTCACTCGTGGTGATCGCTGAAACTCTGAAGAAGCCGCAGGAACTGGATTTTGAAGGATATTTCCTGCACCAATGAGAAGAAACCGTGTGAGAGGCTGTGTTTAAAAAGCATTTAACTGCCGAGAGACAGTCGTTGGCACAGAATTGAAGGCTCATACCGGACTACAGTCGCAGTTCTCATTCTGGTCATGGACCACATGATTTGAGGTGGTGTATTTCCTCCAGATCAGCTTGTCAAACAGATTGTTGAGTCCCGGGATGAGACGGAACTCAGCCAGCATCTTGTGGACCTGTGCAGACACGCAATACAGAGCTCAGTGAAATTTACAGTTCAACTCTTCTTAGATGAAGAAGAGTTTATCTTAAAATCCCAAAGAGTGAAGAGACGTCTGCTGTCAAGTACCTGGTTCCTCTGTCGGCCCATAAGAAGGACACACAGCACATAGAGCACCTCCACCTTATACATGATCTCATGGACGATCTTCATGGACTGGGGCAGTCGGTGTCTCAGAGGGCCGGTGGCCAGCGAGCTCTCATCGGATGACTCTGGAGGCGAGATTTAAAAAGTACTTCAACGTCAATCGGAGTCCGCAGGAGGAAGCAATGTGAAAACTCCGCAGCACAGCTGAACCTCGTCCTACCCGTGCTGCTTTGATCAGCCTCCTCGGTGGCCATCTGCATGAGGGCGTCCAGCACCAGGGCATTGTCCAGCCACGTGTACCATTCCTCCAGCTCCTGCAGAAAGTTTGCTCCCGTGGCCTCAGACACCTTCCTAGTGGCCAGCTTACACAACCGCTCGATGAAGCCGGGGATGTTCAGCAGGGTTACTGTTGGGGAAACGGCAAAACAATTATTAATATATCAGAATTTACTGATGTATTCCTCCATGACACAGTTCCTTACAGCACGGAGAAACTACTCTGCAGTCAGGAGAAACCCTACCCTGGTTGACCTCCGCCCGAGACGGGCTAGCGTTGCGTTTCTGCTGTGCGTTCTTGGCCAATAGGGTGTGCTTGTCGTCGTTTCCCACATCAGGCTCCGAGATGGTGACGGATAGGATGCGGCAGAAGTTGGCGAGCTGCTGTTGGTCAAAGCTTTGGACCAGGCCCGACAGGTTGGGGATTCCCTCCAAATGGATCATCTCCTGGATAAATGAAATCATAAAAACTATTAACAGAGTAGCAGTTTAGCATTTCACACACTTAAGATGTTGAGTCTGAATAGGCTACTTTCTTTTCCATATTTCATGAATAAAGGTTAATGTGTAACAGCTAAAACAGATGTGTCTTTACATTGACAGCATAGGGCTGTGCGGTATCACGGCCAAAAATCCATATCACCGTATTTAGAGAGATTCTGACGGTATCCCGGTATGTGACGGCATTGCTTTTTCAAGTAAACACATTAATTAATTGACCCCGAAAAGGACCGCCGGCTACTCGAACAGCTGTTTGCCGCTCGCTGGCCATCGTGCTCGCAACTGGCCGGCTCGTTAGCACATTAGCACGTTAGCTTGTCGTGGCTGCTAGTGTTGTCACCAGAAGCTCGACAGACTTTGCAAGAAATCGTTTTCTGATCAAACGTAACTTAGGTGTGATTTTCCAAAACCCAAACCCTCCACACAGACACAGCTCCTCTCTTGGGCACAAGTTGTGTTGGCACATCTCTGGTCTCTCGTTGTTGTTGTTGTTGTTGTAACTGTAGCGCTCTTTGCTGTGTTTTCATGAAGTAGTAGTTACTTCTTGTTGTGAGCTGTACCCAGCATGCAGTTGGCCGGGGTATTTTTTATAAATTTTAAAGTATTAGTGTTACAAATGGTTTAGGTGTCACCAGCTGATGTGTCGTGGTGTTTTACCCTGTTAACGAGTGCTTGTTGCGAGTTATTCATTGTCTGTATAAAGTTATAAACATGACTCCGCTCGGCGCTCCTCCGCGACGTTTAAAAATAAATTCTGCCGCCTGCCGAAGACCAACGTCAGTTGAGAAATTTATACCGTATGGAAATCTTATAACGTTTGGACTGTATACTGCCCAGCGGTATATAACAATACTAAGAAGAAAAAAATTTGACTTGACTTTTAAGAAAGGTGCCAAATGTGCTGCAGCGTGAATCAAAGAGTGACTTCGTAGGCGCCTGGAAGGGCCACTGTGGGTGTTTTCACACACACACACACACTCATACCAGAGGTATAACTCTGACCTTTTTGACACCAAGAATATCTTCAATTAGGGTAGCGGTCTGTAGGAAGGTCTTCTTGTTAGTCATCAGGGTGAAGAGAAAGAGCACAAAGTCATCCCTCGCTGCCAGGCTTTTTGTGACCCCCTCCGTCTATGAATTTGAAGTAAAGGACATGAATTAAACATGCACAGTGCTGTATCTAAACATGTTTGGAGACAATAAAACAGCACAGACCAACTGCAAGGAGAACACTTCTAGTTGCTAATACACAGGTGCTAATTAAAGACACGATGCACCGATGACATTTCTCTGGTTGGTACGAGACGTAATAGGATACTTACACATATACAACAGTTGTAGAGAACACTAAGGCAGTCCTTGACCAAGTCATCGTTCACTGCTGTAACACAAACAGAAGAAATGGTCAAATCAATTAATTATGATCATGCAACATGCAAGTGATTTCCAAATAAAAGCAGAAAAAATGACACCTGTGACGTCATAACTTACTATTGTTGTTTTTCTTCTGCACAGTTAATGTGGGTCTCATCAAGATCTCCACAAGCAGCTTCAGGGAAAGAGAACATTTGGTATTCAGAATACAGTGTCTCTGTACGGGTTGTACCACACATAGAGCATCAAGCACTGGGGATGTTGAACTTACATGCACTCCACCAAAGAGGTCAAAGGTGTACGTGTTGGGGAAGGTAGATTCCTGAGCAGTCTTCCTGTCCTCCGTGACAAAAGACATGGCCTCCACGGAGAGCTGGGATGATAATACCTGACAAAAAGAAAAAACATTGTCAGTGTGTCTTTACATCACAAAACACTCAGCAAGGAGAAAACCAGTTATTCCACAGCATCAGTGTTGGATGGTCACCTTGAGAAAGCTGTGGGCATTGGAGAGGTCGCTGTTGGGATGGCTGCTCTCGTAGAGCCTCTGCAGCAGAGTAGGGATGCCGTACCACTTGGCCCGTTTATCTCTCTCCTGGAGCAGCCCGCCTGGGAGCTGAGACACACAAACAGAGGAAACTATAAACATTCAAAAGTATCCGTGCATGTTTGAGTTAGAACCAAGATGTTTTTAAATGTGTTTTTTTTTTTTTACTTAAACGAATGGATGTATGGTTGTTTATTATTTGTATGCAAGTGTGATTTAGAGTTAAACTAGAATATGCAGTCTGTACACAATCCATTTAATACAAAGTCAAATTGAATATATAAAATAAGAAAAATGTCACTTAATCTTCCCCCGTGGAAAACACGTTAAGTTGTCGAGACCAAAAAAAGGTCACAGAGAATAACCTTGAGTAAAACTGCAACAAGGAAAACAAATTAAAAGCAGATTTTTATTTTATACCAGTAAGAATCCTGGCCTGGCTCATAGTCCGTGGGGAGAGTGTATTGTGGAGCAAGGCCACCATGTGCAGCTGAATCTTACAGATGATGTCACCCTACAGCAAATTCTGCCCAAATACAGGACGTAAGCATAGGCGTGCTGTGTTATCTAGAATAACCCCATGTGGGGAAATTTTGAAAGGGCTCAAAGACGGTCACAGAAGAGGGTGTTTTAAATAATATTTCCCCAGAGAAAATAACTTTACATGTAACAAAATCATGCACACATTTAATGTGCTGCTGTGACTGTAATCCTCACTGTTGAGACCCTTTCAAGAACAGAAGGCACTGACGACAGCGTGACTTTAGTGATACGCATGGAATATTAGACAATGATTCCTGAGCCTGCGTGGCTCAGGATCAGAATGTTAAAACAAACGGATCTCTAAACTTCAAATTCACTCCCGATACTGCCACAATCTATCTATCAGTACTATCAGCCCGATTTCCTCTATGGGCGCTCAGTGTGATGAAAGCAAGCATGCCCGATCCTACGCTTACCATTCAACACAACAGGGTTCAGCACCTTTTGTATAGACCCTGGCCTGGATAGAACTTTGGTCTAAAGATTGTCAAAGGAACGTGAAGAAGAAACAGCGATGTGCCAGTTACATTATTTCTTGAGATAGCACTTGTCCCAGTATGGCCAGTCTGCTCTCAGTTCAACACGAGAGGACGCAGACATAAAGAAACTCGGGATATTGCTTCACATGGTGAAACATTTAGTCAAAGTATTGCATTCTCATCCTATGGTTTAATAAACATGAATCCAACGGCGAAAGTTATAGGATTCACACCTGTAGACACAGGTACAAGAAGAAAAACATTCTTCGTATCCACACAATCAGTCTCCCATTCATTGTCTGCAGGATTAACACCGGGTGACAAGTCGGAGAGAGATAAGTTGGTTTCAGGCTTTAACCAAAAAAGGGAGCAGCTCATGTTTGTCTATGGCTTGGAATTAAGCAACTGGTTTTCTCGGTATCGGAAACATTTCGTTCCAAATAACAAACCCCAAAGTGACAATTCATTCATTTTTTACAGTTGAAGCTACTTAGAATATTTGTTGTAAGCGTTTATCAAGGTTATAATGCACATCTGCATTACAAATGTAATTAATGGATGTGTTGCGTCACAAATGGTCAGCATTTCAAGTAACTTGAACATTAAAAGTGTATTTTGCTTCGTGATCAAACTGGGACAGCTGTGTAAACACACCGAGCAGTCGAAAACTTTAACCAATCCCACATTTTCACGTCGATCACAGTCTTTCAGACATTGATAACTAAAAGTCAACAAGGAAGTTAAAAGGCACTGACTTCTCTGCTCAGGAAAAAAAGCGTTAGTTCTGCAAAATATGGGCTTGAGTCACGAGTGTGTGAGGAAAAATATGACACAGTTTTACATTTACATCCCAGGACAGCGGAGACCTTTACATGCATGAGCACACTTCATATCGGTTTAATTTAACATAATATAATGTTAGCAGCATGTCGACATTAGCCAAACCAAGAGGTGCTCCACAAAGCTACAAATGTCATTTTCAAATACGTGCGTCTCTTTGAATTTCTACGTATGTTAATTTATCCAAACAGCTGTTGTTGCCGATCCATTTGTGGAAACGACAGTTATTGTGGTTTGTGCGTCGTTACGTAATCACCTGATCTGTTCAGCTGGCTTAGCTAGCGAGCTAATGTTAGCTCGCCCCGTTTGCTAACGTTAGCAAGCCGCCGCCGTTGATTAACGTTACGTGATTTAAGCGAATCCCAAATTCAACTTCCGGTTGTCTAGCAGCGTTCAACCCCCCCTGATGCCTGCTGAAAACACAACAACTATTAAAACCCCCCGTTCACAAAGCGTTCCCGTATCGTAACGTCAGTTAACGTGGCACACAGTGCTAAGCTAAAGCTAAAGCTAACAACAAAAGACCCACTCGAAGCGGAGCTCGCTCCGTGCACTCCGTTGTAACGTTAACCTCATTTGCCTGGTCGGCGAGAACATATTAATACACACAACTTAATTTGAGTCGAGGATCAAGGTTTGCTTTTCTAAAATCGCCCGGCACTGCTGCAGCTAGCTGCAAAGCCGAGGCTGCGAGGAGGGGGAGCGACCAGCTCTCCAGTCGAGCCTCCCGGACAACACGGTCCTTTCCAGGCTGGATTCGCAGCGCGAGTCCGCGGTCTCAGCCCACCAACTTTCGGCTGTCTTTACTGGCGGAAACGTGCATCGTTTCTCTTACCTCCGTCCCTCGACTGAAACCCTGACCAGTAATTTTACTAGCCGTGAACTTCGTGACGATGCTGCCGTTGCAAACTCGTCGTTTTCCTCCAGTGCAGGAGGACTCGGACCCCAGAAGCGTCGCCATTATTTCTTCTTCCTGAACTGAACTGTTCGGGCAGGAAGTGGAAGCTTTGATGACTTGTTCGAGGCAATTAAGCGGCATCTGCTGGCAGAGAAGCCCATCCTGCAACCAGCAAGTGGCATATTTATATATAGCTATATATACAAATGCTTTATTATACCAAGAAAATACGGCCGAGACGCTTGCGTTTAGGTTATTATGTATATTTAAGCGCTGCTCATTTAACGCGTAACATATTTTATTGTAATCCAATAACTTGTAATCCAACAACCAAGATCATATTACAAAATAATAAACACATGTTATATTTCATTCAAATATCGTGTACATATATTAATATATAACTTAAACTTTCACACTTTTGAAACTAAATGAGAACAAATATCTCTTTGATTTGACATTTTCAGCTCTCAACATCCTTGTCGCCATGAAAAACATCTTTTTGCAGATGCACATGTCACAAGTTCAGACATTGTAGTGTGTCAGCCCTCCTGCTAATCCAGGGTCTCCAAAGTCTACACTTGGTCGTACAGATGACATCTTCCAAGGGCTTTTCAAACTGCAGATGAGAAAGGACGGCGTCTGGACTATTTCCATCAGACTTCTTCACTCTCAGGCGGCTCCTCTGTCTCTCCTCAAGTGTCCCAGCTGTCATCGTTGCCCTCTGTCATTTGCAGGTAGGAGGAGATGGCTTCCCTCAGTCCCTCGCTCACGAAAGAGTGGTCCGACTCTGTTCTCACCTTCCTGAAGATCACTGACCTGCAGGAGACGGATAAAGTCATTTCAAAGACGTGGATCAGTATCGTGATGAAGGTACATGTTGTCAAACATAAAATACAAAAAGATGCAATTTTACTTATGCTACTTTTGTGTCCCAAACACGGATGGACTATTTTCAACCGGTGTGTTGTACTTTGTCAAATAATAATTATCTATTTTGGTAGCCTTTATATACCTAATATATGTCATTTATATTTCAAGCAACGTCTTGCTCTGCACACATTACATTACATAATCAAACCTGGCAAACATCTTCTAAGTCAGTTTACTCAGCAATTAATCATAAATGACTGCCGACACAATGACAACAACTAACCCAAAAATAACAAGCTGCACAGCGATTTTATTGATTGCTCTCCAACCAGTGCGCCAGCAGGTGCTTCGGTACTGTAATAGAGGGACATGTTGTGGCAGTCATCACTAGAAGCTAAAGGGAGTCTGGCACACCTGCTAATGTCCTTCCAGTTGATAGTAGGCCTCCTGATAGCTGAAGGTACGGGCCTGGGCTCTCTGGGAGCATCTACACCGTGGATGAAGCAAGGCTCCGTCAGCCGGCAGCACAATCCGCCTACAGACTCTGCGAGAGGAGGCAACGTTTGAAATTCAATCTTCTAGGGCAATCTCAGTTGTTCAGGCTGAAAAAAAACAGCATTATCATCCTTGGTGCGAACCTGAATAGTGTTCCACCAGGTGACGCACGGTGGGGAAGGTGACCCCCGGAGATATGTAGATCCAGCCGTTGTGGAGCTGAAAGATGCGGTAGTGCTTGACACAGTCCAGGTATGAGGAGTTGCTCCTCTTCAGGACGGATAGCGAGTAACCATCTGAACACAGCAATAGAGCGCAGATGAAGCGGATGAAACCAAGGGGTTCATGGTCCTTAATTTGCAGGCATTTATTCCAGCTATGTTTGTATTCCTTATCCTTTCTTAAACAATAACTGCAGTTGTTTCTGACTGGTGACACACTGTGGAATCAACCCCCTCTAACCTTTGTTTGTCTCTGACTCCCGGATCAAGAAGGCGCCACTTTGGTTGTTAGGTTGCATGAGCAGCTCCACTGCTTTGATCCTGCTGAGGCCTGTGAACAGCCACCTGGACAGAGAGGAGACGCATCTGTTCAAGCGTTGTCAGGGAGACAAAAAAGTATTTTGCCGTTGTTTTCAAGATTGGAAAATCCACTGTAGCAGTTTCAGAGCCCGTGGAGGAGGACTGAAACTGCAGGAGGCAGAGGATGATGTCATGTCACCGGAGAGTACAGCAGTGTGGTTCCTCCCCTGAGGAAAAGGTCACCTACACAGAGACTATGGGTCACAGAGAAGTGACACAGACGTCTCAGCACACGTTTTCACACATCCTTGCGAGCTACCTGTGGGTTAGCCGGGCTGTGTAGTCGGTGGGGATGTAGCTCTCGACGCCCGTGGTGGCTGATCTCACCATCATAAAATCCCCGTCGCTGTTGAAAGAAAATAGGCAGCCGTACTGACTAACTGCATCTGCGGGCACGGAGACGAGGGTGAAACACAAAATTGCCCCAACCACGTACTCTGATGTGATGTCGAGTCGTTCTCCAATGCACATGGTGATCTCTGTGTGCTCAAAGGGCGAGTAGTTGCAGAGCGACACGAGCACGCTGTCTTGAGAGGCTGCAGAGAGAGAAGACGATGCACAAAATATTTACATTTTTTATGTTTTATTTCATTTAATTTCTTTTGTCACTGTTTTGGCAGTATAACCCACATTGTGAATCTGTTTCAGATGGATTTTCTAGAATAGTCCGCTTGGATCGGCATCTGATGGGGCAGGTCCCCATGATCTGTGGCTTCTTGCTGTCTTGAAAAGGCACACGGGTTGAGATTAGTTATATATATATATATATATATAGTTATATGAGTTTAGTTATAACATCACGCGGGCCACAATGGCTTACAGGTACTGCACTGTTTGTACCCTGGAAACTAAATGTAGATGTTACAGGAAAGTGGCCAACCACAACAACAGAGATTGACTTCCTGAGAGAGATGAACCTGCTGCATGTTTGAAATCTATTAACACGAGAGCAATAGATTAACAGAAGTAAACTGATTAGATTTTATTTGCATGATTCTTACAAAGTATGCATATACAAAAAACATTGCAAATCTAATCTTAATACTGTTTATTTGTACACAACACAAGTAATCAGGTAATTTGTTTCATAATATTCTTGAGGTGAAAGTCACTGATGAACAAATCAATAAAGAAATAATAAAAATTACTTTTAGGCAAAATACCTTAGAGTAAATAACATACCTCCTTTGATTTCTGTATTAAAGGTTTTCGCCCGGGAACTATATTCCACACACGCAGTGACAGATCAACTAATAATTTCCAAATATTGTTGATGGTCTTCTGCCTTCAGCACACACGGATCGCTGTAATCTTGAGCTCAGGTTCTCACTGCTGATCGATCAGTGGCTGCGTTCCCTCCTCTGAGCCCACGAAGACGGCTGCGCGTCCTCGGCTGTTGGATAGGGGGCAGGGCTGAAGGGACGGGGCCTCCCGCGCGCGACCATGATGTATGTCACCCTGCTGCAGCTTCCTGTGACGCTCGAGGCCGTGACATCCTGACTCAAGGTGTCAGACAGCTCACGTCGCTCTATCTCGGAGAAAGTGTTTTCTTAAGTGGGTGCTCAAAGCGCATCACTTGTTTATGGAATTATCTCTATGTCTATGCAAGCACGCGTACATGCCCCCTGTGGTGCGACATAATGGCTTGCAGCAGTGACGTCATTGCACTGATGATCTGCCTTCAGATGTTACAGCTGAACTGCAACGTCTGCTGGAAAGCAGCGAGTCCAGTGCTCCCATTACACTCAGTTACGGTCATAAAGATCAGATAAGAGTCAAACTTCAGCAGAAGCATGACCACGGGTCCCACGCCAGCCTTCTCCTGCCCGGAGTCATCAGAGGTTGTGAAGCTTCTGCAGTCATATTCCGTACTGTAATACTTTTATACTTATAATTTAGGTTGTCAATGGAAATCCAAAATGCAATTTTGTAAATGATTTGTTCAGTGACAGCGAACAAGAGATTAGCTTGGATCCGAGTCTCTGCTGAGAGATCACCTAAAGCAGCGGAAACGTTCTGATCTCCTCTAACCCTCTTTGATCAGACGGACTGAGAGTTTCTTTAAAGTCAAAGGAACGACAGTGGATGAAAAAACTAAAACAATCTTGACCAGGAGAGGCCAGTGTGCAGAAATCACTGAGAACCCCAGGTTAGTGGGAATGGAAAGAACGTTTGATAAAGAAACATGATGATTCCATTTGGATATTTCAAAAAACATTTTAGGTAAGATATATTTTTCAAATGGTTTTCCAACTTCTCTCACTCCACATTCCTGTGTAGTAACATCGGATTACAGTTAAATACAGTAGTATCATTCTAAGATGTTTGGTTGGACAGAAGAAGCGTGATGGCTAAATGAACTGACAGAACTCCCGGTTCTTGCATCATACTGCACTTATATTATCGTCTTTACTCCGCTGTGGATTCCTCTTTGCAATCAATTAAGGAAAATAGCAGTGTTGCACGAGCAGAACGCCATGATATCAGGTACCAGAAGTGGGTAATACATCGGAACATAACATTTAGTGCCATGCTACTACATCCTTCAGTTTGAAGTCAATCTTCTCATTTCATTTGCGGCGCATCTGATCTTCAGCTACACGAACGTTTGCTAAATATAGACGACCCGATCCGTGACAACAGAAGTTGTTACTCTGTGGTTGGAAACTACCTCACCGCTCTCACCTCACCTTTCCACGAACAGGAGAGGAAAAGTACAAGCACTCGCTGTGCGGAGGCATACAGTACAAACGTGTGTTATTTATGTGCATTTAGTGGGAGAATTCGGGGAAAAGGAAAACGGCAGACAAGTTGTCATGTTGTGGCTTTATTCAGTAGTAATATAAATGGGTTGAAATCAGCAGACAGTGAGAAGCACCACTGGGCCTCCCGGTGAAAGGACTCCTACTTTTCACATCAGAACCCACTCGTTAAAACATCACTGAATAATCTATTCGAACTGAACAAAAACATCAACGCAAAGCAGAAAGAAAAAGGCGGCGAGCTCGGAAACAAAAATACAAAATAAAGACATGTTTGTGAAGGGAAGCAGTTGACAGGAAGGTTGGTTCAGTGTTCAGAAGCAGCTCTATGCACGAAGTATACTTTGTGACCAATTCAGCCTCGCGTTGAAGAACGATTGGGATTAAACAATGAAATAGTGCTTTTAAATCTATACAGCCTACACGCTTAAAGGTTACGAGAGGAGACACCAGTTGAAATAGCAAAAGTGTTGTACCTTGCAGGGATTGCTATTTTGTACACATGGAGCATTTATATAGTGTGTGAAGACATTTAAATCAAAGACGACGTGAAAAAAAATAAATAAAAGGGGTTGGGGTCGAACACTCAATAATATTAATGGTTTAACCATTTGAATACTAACACATTTGACCGTAGTAATGGTTTCTGGTACGAATGTGACCGACACTGTATTAAATATTCAATAATATGCATCTGTTAATATATTTATTACATCTTCTTTTCTAATCACATAACTTTGTTACAGATCCTCCCGGCGTTGAGTTGCTTAGGAGCAGGATATCAGAGAGAGAGAGAGAGAAGGGGGGGAGGAAAGGGAGGGCACATCAGTTACTATGGGAATGTGCAAGGGGCGGAGCTTAGCAGGAGACCTCCATGGTCTGGGGTCTGGCCTGGTTGTCCAAGGCCCCGGGGACGCCGCCCTCCAGCAAGCTGTTGAGGTTGTTGCGGCTGCGGCTGCTGTCCATGGAGGTGATGCTGGAAGAGGAGGCGGTGCGGGAGCGAGCCAGACGAGTCATTCCTACTGTAGGCACTAAAAAAAGGGGGGGGGAGACACGCGTTAATGTTTCGGACTCGGGAGTGCAGCGCGCAAACATGCACATCAACAACAGAGGTGGGTCCCATGCAAAACGATTCTCAAAAACTGAGGCCGATAAAAAAAAAAAAGAAAAAGAAAAATTGCACGTGTGTGAACTGTTAAAAAATAAATGAATAAATAACACAACAGCAGCAGAACACGACAATCCAACAGAAGAGGCCGAGGAAGCCGGCATGTCATGCAACAAAATAGGACACTGAGGACAGAATCCATGCTAAACGGGACAAACTCAACTCCTACTGGGGGACGAATGTATGCAGAAAGATCCTGCTGTGTTTTAATAGCCTGACTGTATCCATCACACGGACCTGCTGTTGAATATCAAACTGAAACCGGTGCGCTCTGGAAAATTTCTGCATACATTGACATTGATCCACTGTGGAGTAAGAAGGCCAGTGGATTCACAGGCTGCGGCTCAAAAAAAACAAAACAGATACCTGAATCGTTGCTCAGGTGACTGAGGAGAACGTAGGGAACTGTAAGCAATGATTAGAGAAGGAAGAAAGAGAAATGTTGACATATTCCACCGCGGTGTATTTCGGATCCAAACTAAAATAATCTGCCACGGTTTGTAGTCATTGAGGACACACAGGAAAGCTCTACGAAATCATAGCACGTGTGCCAACTAAAATCTGCATGTCGCACACACTGGCCGCTTCTCCTTTGCGTTTCACCCTGTGACAATGTGTTAATGAGGGAAAAGGCAGCTTGCAGAAACATGCGGAGGTGTGGAGATTTATTTTCCACACTTTCCCCTGCGTGAAAGCACTTTTTAATCACTTTTAATCCTGCAGTGGCATTTGCTCAACAGGAGGACTCGGTGGCCTTTGAAGCAACACTGAGGCCCCGAAGTACTGGCTGCACCCAGGGGGGGGGGGGTCTCCCACGGTGATGGGTTTGGGAACGGGAGAGTGCAAAAGAGAATTAGCTATACAGAAATACAGAACCCCCCCCCCCCCTCTCTCCCAAACACACACACACCCAGATAGACAGATGGACAGGCTTCATCTGTATGGCCAGAGCAAGCAGACCTACAGATCCATCCGAAGAGGCTCTGAAAGTCAGTGCGGTCTGACAGAAATGCGTCTCTCAGGAAAAGCATCGCAGTTTTGGGTAGAAAAGAAAAATCACACGAGGCAAAAACAACAAAGGGTATTTTTTTTTTTTTACGCCCACTTCAAACCGAACAGGAAGCGAACTGCTGTTCAGCACATCTTGAGGGCCACTGTCATTTCAAGGCACTCAAACCTCACCTACTGAGGCTTGTGGGGACCGCACACTGCAAAGAGAGGAAATGGCGTTAGCGTCCTCTGAGCCGCTCGCGCCGTCTCTCTCTCTCTCTCCCTCCCTCTCCGTGACCTGGCTGACAAAGAGCTGCGTCTTTTCACGCACCGCTGGCCACAGTCCAAACCCCGTTAGCAGGGGCGTGAAGCAACAGCTCCTTGTTTGCTGCGCTGAAAACAATCCTCACTGAAGGTGCCGTTGTCATTGCACTCACGTCAACAGGAAATTCAGTGAAAAACACAAGACCAACCTCCAACCACAAACGCGTCACGCCAAAAAGCTTTTTGCCTGTAAACAATTTTTGGACATACAACCCAGAGGCGGCTAGTTTGAACTGGAATCATTTGTTTGTGTGGATGGTTTTTTTTTCTGACAAGCCACAAGTAGCAAAACACATGTTTACGTACTGTAGCCCATTCCCTGAAGAAAGTACTTGAAGGCCTCGGCAAGTTTCCCTGGCTGTGAAAAACATAAAAAGGGTTCAAAGTTAGAAGAGAACTCGGACAAGAAAGAAAATTGATGAATGACCAAACGTAAAGATGACAAAAACAAACCTGCACGACTTGCGGCAATCCTCCACAATCAGCCATCTGAAGAAAATGATCATTAGTAACATTGTTGATGAATAAAACGTTTAATTCATATTGACTGAACAAGTGAGGAAAGGTTCACCTTCAGCAGTGTGGTCTTGGTGGGATTTAACCTGGAATTGCACTCCACCTGAAACAACAACAACAACAGTGACCACTGCGGTAAAAAATAAAATAAGACAAATAACTGCAGATGCTTCCCCCAAAAACTCCTAAGCTGCTGAGATGACGGATTGCAACTCACCACAGCCTCCACAGCAGGGGACGTGTCCCCAACCACTAACAACGCAGGGCAGCTGCGTGGGGGAAAGAGAAGAGGCTTGAATATTCTCAAAAAACATGTCCTCAAGAGACAAATGTTCACCGGTGACTTCTTGCTCCAAGAACCTACGTTAATGTGTTGACTGTGGCCTCGTTCAGACCTACGATTGGCCTCTCGATCTCCAGGTCGCGGCGGCTGGGGCATGGAGACATTTGGGATTTAGTTAGCGGAGCAGGAACAATGTGACGGGGCTCAAACGTGAGGTGACTTGGCAGGAATGTGGATTTTCTGTGCACCTCGGGATTTATCATCACACCCTTTTTCCCCTATAGGGTTTGATACGCCGCCTCCGTCTATACTCGGATCTGGATTCCTACACGTTCTGATACTGCAAGACTAATGGACATGCCTCCACGGTGACCAACTGAGGGGAAATGCGGCTTTTCATGCAGTGCAATTTGGTCGTCTTACTATTGGTAGGAGCCACAGAAGAGGGCCAGGTTGTCCTGGTTGATGTCTTGGGCGATGTGGAGGCGGTAGGTCTGGATCAGCTCCTGGTTATCGGTCAACTCATCCTGGTGAGGGAAACAGAATAAGAGGTAGACCCAACAAGGTATGCTCGGCTTCTGCAGTGTAGTTATTAACAAAGAGTTTGTCATCTCCGTACCACAGTGCACAGAGGAGACAGAAATAGAGTAATTATTCAATGCTTGTTATTAGGTAAATGTTACCGGGGGGAAATCAAGAAAAGCTCCCAGAGCTTCGGTTTGTGTCCCACATTGTCAATAGAAAAAAAGGTCACTATCACTGATTAGCAGGAACAGAAAATAGCACATGGGGAGGAATGAAGCGCAGGAGAAACTCACCGTGCTGAAGTGGTGAGCCATGATGATATCTACCAAATTACTGGTCCATCCAGACAGCTGCACACGAGAGGAAGACAGATCCGGTTAAGTCGAGGACTAGAACGGACGTATTTCTGTTTATGCAGCGTCCTCGCGGTTGTGGCTTTATAACCATGCCTGTGTTTACTTGTGGTGTACACGGTGACTGTTTAAATCACTGTGATTTACACTGCCACATTTAAGTTTTTTAGAGGTCATGGAGGACGTCCCGGTGACCTTATGGTTGTTGTAAAATAGTTTACACTCGAGTTGTATGAGCCAAATAATAAGAGAACAGATGGAGAGTGGGTATTTTAAACTCTATGCGTCAAAGGTCATAGCGTGGTTCCATTACTCAGAAGGTTCCACCTTGTACAGTACACAGAACGTAAAGTTCACAGTATTCAAGTACAGTGGGACGCGACAGTACTGCGCCCTGCACTTTTACCCCAATGATCCAAATGAATAAACACTCGCAGTGCCGCAGTACGTGAATGAAGCTTGGCTTGATTAACTTTGGAGGGAGAGACGTTTAAGAGACCTTTGACCTCGTAGGGTCACTTAGTGGTAATTATGTAATTCACATTTTGTTAAGCACTTTGACTTGTCTGAAAAGTGCTACAGAATACATACTACATAATATTGTCCTCACTTGCTCCCTTTATCCACTAATCTCAGGTGTAGCATCGTCATGTTTTTTTAAAAACAGTATTCTATAATCAAAACATTATAAAGAAACAGATGTTTATTGAAATATTTTTGGCCTGAACAACTTATTGTTGGCCATCGTGACTCCCTCACTTAATTACTTAGTTTTTCCTGTGCCGGGTTTCGGGACAGAGGACGTCGTATATAATGTCATATACAAAATAAAATGGTTGTATTATTATTCAAGCAACGGCTTCACGTATGCTGCAGAGTGTGCAGAGGACTTTCTAGGTTTGTGCTGCAGCGGTTACAATGACCTTCGAAGCTGCCCAGTCGATCCAGCCTTCAGCACACGGGTCGACGTTGATCAGAACCAGCCCCTCCACCAGGGTCGGGTTGTTCAGCTGTAGGAGAAGAACACGGTCAGTTCCAGCTTCATATGGGCAGTTGTTGGACATTTTTAACCTGTGCAAACCTGCTGTATTGTTCAGTCGGGTCTGGGGTAGTAAAGGAATTATGCTCGTCAATAGCTACGTCTTCCCAATGTCAAAAGGTTTTTTTGCTCAGGAATTTGTGTGTTCCATCAACAATGCAGATTGAGGATGAAACCACTGCGGTGTTTTTTCTGAAGAGGTAAAAAGTTAAGCATGTCACTTGTTTAAATCAACACATAAAACTATGTGGAATCCCAGGCTTTTAAATTAAGGGATGCAATTTTGGAAGAGCCAAGACGGACTGAGGATGTCGGGGGAAATCTAAGGTCCATCTTGTCCAATGTTGCGGGAATACTGCTGATGTGACGCAAATGCGATGCAGCAACAGCTGCTATAAATCCATGAAGGGTAACCCGCTTTTCTACAAGCTGGTTAGAGAAAATGCATCTCAGAATCAATTGTCTTTGTTAGTTTCAAACAGAGCCGACTCTGCATAGAGTGGCTGGGAATAAGAATACAAACTTATACACCTTCCCTGTTTACCCCTGGCCACCACCCTGCCCTTCTATTATTTATAGCTCAGTGCTCTCTGGCTCCTCTCTGTCACGTCTAGCTCTTTCTGCTCCGTTGTGCACACATCGTGCCTATTTTAGCCCCACTGAGTTGAGTGCGGAAACAAGAGTTAAGTAACTGAAAAGGAGAGAATCACCAAGGTGATTCACCATCTGGGGGGATGGCAGCTTTAAAAGCGGACTGGAGAAACCTGACGCACTTTGTGGGCTTGGTGGCAGGCTTTCATTCTCAGTACAACAGGCTGCGCGGCTGGAAAACCTCCGATTATTACAGGCGAAGGTTGTGGAATGAAATCACCAAAGCAATGGGGTTAAAAAGTGTACATTTGTTCCAGATGGACTCACTGCGAAGAGGCTGAGGATGTACGCTCCCGCTCCCACGCCGATTCCGATCACACTGTTCACCCTGCAGAGAAACCTCTGGTTACCGTGGGACTGGAGGTGAATAGTTAAATCGTGCCCGTGAGCACTGATCAGCTGCCACTCACTTGAGTTGAGTCATCACAGAAGGCAGCATTTCCGCCATCTCTTCCATGGTCGGGTAGCGGTAACTGGAGAAAGATGAAACACGCGAGTCCATCGGTGTACTTAATCATGAACTGATTAACTCAGTTCAAAGCTCAAAGACAAAGACTGTGCTTCCATTGGGAAATGAACTAGCAGCTCATTTGTCATTACAACTAAATAAATGGATCACGGCATCAGCACAGATCAATCAGCATGTAAAAACCAGCCCAACACTCACCCGCTGGGGAAGGGAGGTGCACCCTCCTGCTGGCCGGGCGCGTCCACGTGGACCACCGCAAAGTGCTGCGTGATCTCCTGCATGTCCTCATAGTTGAACAGGGTGTTGAAGCACGACTTGTCTGGAAAAGGTGCAAACATTTGCGGGAGTTTATACTCTGGACGACCCGTGTGTGTGTGTGTGTGTGTGACAAAGACCAGGTTCACCACATCCGGGGACGCAGCGGATCGATATTATATCTTCTATTTTTGTCTGACTCACGGTTGAGGCCGATGTCGTGGTAGGTGAGGATGACGGGTCGGTTGCCCTTTGGAACGCCTCTCATTGTCACGTGGAGAACGCCATGGGGAGTCTCAATATCATGCTCCTGCAGCCACCGAGAAGAGGAGGAAGAAGACAAGTGTTAAGAGACAAAAATACATGGTGTGTTTTAACGGAAAGACAATCTGATCACTTTTAAAAGGATAGTTCTGGCGTTAATGCATGAAACAAAAGCAGCAGTTGGTTTTTGTGGCTCAAGATTAATATAAATTTGCCCCAGAAACAACAAAAAAATGATTAAAAACATGTGAACGATCTATTTGGCTGACATATTAACCCGACGAATGCAGCCTATTTGTTTTTAACTAGTCAACCTTTCAAAGCAGCACAAACCGGTGACTACATTCTTGAGCATGCTCAGTAGTGTCTGACCTACACAGATTCACATTTTTACGAGATACTAAGTGTTTTAAACTATTCATGAGACAGCAATGGTGTTGTTTGGCCCTGAGAGATCAGTACATTGGTCTGTGGCAACACAGATACCGGTATAAGTAGCATGAATTTATGAAAAAAGGAATATTAATTATATTTTGTGTGGGCTTTTTCTACTCTAGATTCAGATTATCTCAGCCGAGCACAAAGCAGTTTGCCAATGAAAGAAATAGCATTAAAAAATAAAGAAACAATTCAATATTTGAAATGCCTGAACAAAGCTTGGACGCGGCCATCCGACACAGGGGACATCCGATGACCACAACATGACATTTAGGGTTTCTACATCCAAATGAGGATGCAACCATAACCCACACATTGCGTGCACCACCGGAGCAACAAAGCACAGAATGTGAGAATCTTTTCAATCCGAGGGTCGGAGACGCACGGCGCTCTCTTGGGCATGACTCTGCAAAAATGACAATCTTCGTAGGAAGAGCCACTAAAATTCAAAGCAGTCATCCCAGCTTCATTCCCTCCGTCGCTTTCTTTTGAGTATGATTCTTTGTGAAGCACAAGGACGCCCCGCGTCAGTATTTCACAGTGCTTGCACTAAAGAATGGCTTTAGGCTCAAGTCAAATCGTACTTCGATTTGACTTGAAGACAATGAACCGCGAGGAGGATAAATCGAGGGAACGATGACACTGCAGAAATGATCAGAGGCTCCTGATGGTGTTTGAGGGTTAAAGAGTAAAGCGTGAAGGACGGTACAGAATTAAGGGGGGAAATCAAATGGACAGGAAGTAAAGCCAATTCAAGGACTCGTAGCATCACACACAGGCCAAGGTCAACCTGACTTGGTGCTACACACACGGGTGTGCGTGGCGTAGCCGTGTGCGTGCCGCCGGGCAGCAGCGCCTGGGAGGGGCCCGAGCGCCTGACTGGGCTCAAGGCCCAGAGGTCATCAATAATAAAAGAGAGCCAGCCTGGAGCGGACGAGAGACGGGGGGGGGGGGGTAAGGCTGAGAGACACGGAGGGAGCGGGACTCCTGGTGTGATGTGTGTCACAACCTCGTCAGAGGAGACAAAGGTGCCTTCAAGGACACGGCGGCGTCACGGAGGAAGGAATGAAATAACTCCGCTATTCAGCAACAACAAGTCGATGTTTTCATTTGTGAGGGTGCACAGAAACTAGAAACACAGAGCAACGGTCACTCCGCTGTGGTCTAGAGACGCCGTGACATCACCCCCCCCCCCCAACCTGAAATGGAATAAACCCAGAAGAACCTGAAATGGTTCTGCAACCTCGGCCTAGTGCGAGGGTGTTTATTGATGGGGGGGGCAACAACCTGTTCTAGACTTAACGGAATCTCGTCATGGTTTGTTGCTGATCTTATTTATTATTATTATTATTATTAGACAAGGACAGAGTCAAGGACACTCTGAACGAGAGTCTAGAAAGAGAAACATTTGTGCGAATGGCTGCCTTTTGTCGTCTGTGTGTACGTGCAGCAATGACGGCGGGGGTCTAATTCAAGTACGAATATATAGTGTGGAGTGGGAGGGGGGAGTCCTGTATGACTAACAGAGGTATGTGCCTCATAACGGGGGCTTTTCATTGCCCCAGCCAGGTCCTGGCACAAACAAGGGTGGAGAATCGTGGGAGAGACGCGCCGTGGAAAAGGGAGAGGACTTTCCGTCTCTCGGTGTGCAGCTCTCTGCATAGTTTAAAAGCCGTATTGATCAGGGAGTGCTGCCTCTTCCACAGACACGTAAGTCACGTATGTATGCACACACGGCAGCAGCAGCAGCAGCAGCAGCTCGAGAAAAACATACGTGGGGTGTGGCGGCCGGCCCGGACAAATAGAGTTGAAGAAAAAAAAAACAAGAGGGGAGAAGCACTGCAATGGCAGCAGCCGCCTTTTCCTCTTGAATACGTTCACGGTGGAGAGTAGTTGGACACACAAAGCGTGTGTGCGCTTGCAGATGAGAGCGGAATACTGAGTAGGGGCTCCGCTGAGGTCGACCGGGGGCAACAGTAAGCAGTGAGCAGTCGGGTGGGTTTGGGGCGAGGGAGGAAAAAGAAGGAGTAGTATGTCACGCTGTTCCTCTTCCCGCAATCTTGCCGCCGCCCCCCCGCTCCCCCCCCTCCTCTTATCCACGCCCTGTCAGGAATGACATCAATCACCCGAGAGAGCAGCGTTACAGGGCAAGAGACACCCAGCAAATTCATTTACACTCACACTCACACACCCTATGCATGCTCCCCGGTGGGATCATCCCAGGTACGTGCCCCCCCACCGCCCCTCTTTGACACAAACACAGCCCATACCACCTGCACCGCATACAGTGTGTGTGTGTGTCATCAGAGCGGTGGGTTGGTACAACTACAAACTCAAAGTCTCTGCAGGGGGAGGGAAGGAGAAGCTACAGTGGCTCTGGTGTGTTGTCGCTATGATGTTTAGGGGGAGGGCTGGGAGGCGGGTGGGGGGGGGGGGGGGGGGGGGGGAACTTGGTGACCGGTTGGCCCCGCTTTCGGTTGACAAAAAAAAACGGCTTGGGAGAATCCCCCACCCGCTTCTTTGGGGGGGGGGCAAAAATAATTGGCAGAGGTGGGCTTACCCAAAAAAAAACCACCGAGGTTTTCAGAGACACACACACAAATCCCAACGACACCGCTGACCTGACAGCGAAGCACGCACACGCACCGACGCGTCGTTTGGAGACAACGGAGCGCCACGCGCATGCATCTTTAAATCACCACATTAAAATTTGCGGCTGCACCCTCAGCACGTTTAGGCTGAGCAGACTGCACACATGGTCACTGTGTGACACACACACACACACACACACTGAACAAATGTTCACCCCACACGAGCAGCTGCCCAGAAAGAAAAAACCCCAAAGTCTCAGCCTTCTGCTGACAGGCAAAGCCTGAAAAGAACCCCGCCAGCAGCGTTTTCCCGTCCTCCAGCCAGCTGCCGTCAGCTCCTTTAGGGGGAAAAACAGCCCCGAACCCGAAGCAGAAGCCCCCGCCGCAAGGACCAAGACGCATTAGTCACTCACCACTCCATTCCCAGAGCATGCAATCTGGTCCAGGTCCAGAATAGCTGACATGTTTTTCCCACGCAGGAGAGGAGTGTGTTGTGCTATGTGCAAAGTGTGTGACGGGCGGCGTTGAAGATCTCCTGAAGCAGCAGCAGGAGGAGGAGAGGAGGAGGAGGAAGCAGCGCTGGTAGGAAGGGAGGGAGGAAGGGCGAGGAGGCTAGAGCAGCAGCTACAAGGAAGAGAGGGAGGAGAAAGACACAGCGGAGCGAGGAGGAGATGGGTAAATAATCTGAATGAGAGAGAGAGAGAGAGAGAGAGAGAGAGAGAGAGAGGGGGTGGTGGTGGTGTTGGGGGAGGAGGGGGGAGTTGGATCGGATGCAGAGAGAGCGAATGAGAGAGGGACACGGGAGGTGGGGAACGACAGCAGGGAGAAACGGCGGAGGGGGGGAGGAGGAGAGTGAGACTGCAGTTTGTGCTTTGGTAGTCGCAGCGCGTGCGTACGTACATCCAGCGACCGGTGCGTCCAATTGGATTGTGGGAGGGGGGAGGGAGGGTCAGGTGGGTGGAGGGAGAGGGGTGGTGCTTAGAGGAGAGAAAGGGAGATGGAGGGGAGGCGGGGGGCGCTCGCGATGCTGAGGCAGTCCTGGAGAGCGGCCGGGCGGCTGACGTCACACGGCGATACTGGTAAAGTGAGGAGGAGGATGAGGAGGAGGAGGAGGAGGGTTTGACGGCTCCGCATCAGCAAAATGGCTGCTGATCACGGAGATTTACAACAAATCGCCTCTAGATTCAATTTGGCGTCACCTTGCTGAGGGAGGAGGCAGAGCGACCTCCGCGTCACCGTTAGAAAACACCTGACCCAAGAACGCGCATAACCACACGCTGAAAATGACTCGAAAGGGGAGCTTCTCAGCAGGAAAGGCGTTAAAATGCAGCAGTCTGACAAAGACCAAAAATAGCTTTGCAGCAAATGTTGTCTCCGTGTGTTGACTTCCAAAAGATGACTCCAGTCATCAGCTCACCACAGAACAAACCCTACAATGAACTACTATTTTCATCCCCACTGACAACCATGAGCGGATCCACTTCCTCCAAAGCTGCCTCAGAATCATTTGATCCTCATAGTTTATTGATCTCTCCTTATTTTCAGCCTCCTCTGCTCCGCGTGGCCAACGGCACACGTGCAAACAGCACTGAGTGGGCGGGACTACGACCGCAGGGGTCTCCCCATTGGTCGGCCTTTGTCGCAGCACGTCTGGTTGTACGCTGACCTTTCTCCTCCAAATGTTTCCTGACATAAAACACAGAGAGAGTGACACTGACGAGGCATGTCGTCCATGTACATTGTGAGAAAATTACACACTTGACCACAAGAAAGCGGCATTCGTACATTTGCGTTCCACGGTGCAAAGTTAGCCAGAAAATGTTACACTTTATTTACTCCCATTTTCAGATATGGAAGGCCGATTGTAGCGAGAACGTGATTAACCGCACGTGCGCTGAGACGTTGTGTCAGACTATGAGCTGAAATGCATCTTCTCACATCGACACGTTTCCCGTCAGGGCAGGTTTTGTGTCTCGGCAGCGCACTGCAGTGTGAGGACGGCCGCACAGCCGTGATCCATGCGGGGCTTCACATTTACACAGCCGGAATTATGAGGTCTGACATCGCGCCTGCACGGTGGACGGAGCTGTGGCGCCCTCTGCTGGTCTCAATGAGACAAGAGGTATCATACGGGTTATTATCGCTACAATATACGATCTTCATTAGCTCACAATATGATATTCTGTTCCCCACAGCAAACACCATCAGCCTAAAGAAGTTGCCGGTGTTCATGGGTGGATGAGGCGGACTCGCACCGTCCTCCCCCGTCCGTCGCGCGGCAGCGGGCCAAGCGGGACGTCTTGAGACACGCCGGACTGCAGCACCACACCCTGTGGTTTCTCCTCCCCGACCCCACCTTACCCTCTCCGGGCGCCGCTGCAGTGGCCATGAACCGCCAGTGGACGGCGCTTTGGCACCAGACAAGAGGAGACGCAGCTGGATTTGTCCTCCAGCTGCTGGAATGTCAGACCGTTGCTCGGGGAGACGGTGTAGCGGTAAAAAGGACAGCCTCACACGCACTACATACTCACAGGACGTCTGCTGCTAAAGCGCTGACCGGCCGGTCCTGTATTATTAAAATGTGCGGCAGTGGTGGCCGGTAAAAATGACTGACCTTATTTCGGCTGATATCAATAAGTAAAACATGGACGTTCAGCAGTTAAATGGAATTGTATCAATATATGTAGCATTTATTAAGTCATCACTTGAAGTGTGGATTATTATTTAAATGCGAATTCGACAAACACACGTTCAAGAATCAGCCGTTTATGGACAAGTCCTCATGATTTCTTCAAGACTTTGCCCGTGTGAGGTCAAAATGGCTTCCATGGGGGGAAAAGGTCAAATACACCAGACCCTCAACACCACAGAGTAAAGTCCTGGTCCACTGCGAGTGACACCGCAGAACCGAATCCAGAGAGGAGGAGCGGAAATGTACGCGACACACCGAAATTCATTGAATTGGAACACGGGAGGGAGTGCACCATTTTCTGTGTGCTCATGTTTCAGTGACAAAGCAGACCGGACTGGAGCATGTGGCGCTGCTAACGCGCTTCCCTCTCCTCCTCTGCATGCAGCAGCTATATTTAGCTCTGATGGGATGCTGGAAGCGGCCATGACTGCAGAGAGGGAGAGAGGGGTGGAAGCCTTAACCCTTCGCAGCCCCGACGCTGGTGGAACACAGCAGAGTGCTGTTGGGGCCGGCAATCCCCATAGAAAAAACAGCAGACATCAAAGAAAGGCATCCGGCGTAGAACCCACTCAAGGCCAGTTGATAATGATTCTTAAAATATCACATTAAAAAAGTCTTACTGTGAAAGACCAGCAAAGATTCTGTAACACAAACACCCTCTTACTGCGGAGGACTGTACACGTGTTAAAGACGTCCGTAATCGATCCACTTCTAGGCAATACAGAAGAAGGAAAACAAATAGGCCAGAAACGGGAGGATTGTATGTTGGCTTCCATCAGTTAACATGATCCACATTCCACTGAAACCACACAGTCACTTCAGTCAGGTTCTGCACACGTCTGTGTCAAACAAAGGAGCCATGGAAATAACCAGCAACAACCAGCTCACGGGTGACTAACCCTCTCCACCTTGGGCTTTCTCGCTCACCAGCCGGGACGCAGTGGCGACACAGATGCACCGGAGCATCGGTGACGGGCGTCCGAGCAGGAAGGAGCCCGTTTTACCCAATGAGCAGGAAAAGGACGGCGGGTGGGAGACAACGGTGTTCGACAAATGCTTTCACCCCCCAGGTGGAAAGGGTTGACCAGCAGATCCTGTTTTGCCTTTGAGGAGCAGTGATCAGATGTAGGGCAAACAGACAAATGGGGTCAGGTGGGGGGTGGGGGGGGGGATACGGGGTGGGGGGCCCATATGCTCCCTCCCACTCACTCAACGGCATCACGACAACCTCAGAGCAGCACTCACCTGGCAGTCGAAATCTTGGAAGTTGCGTGTATTCTGCAGACAGAGCAAAAGAGGAGAGTTTAAAATCTCGCTGTCACACACACACAGTCATTGTGACACTTCATGCATTCAAAGACGATGGTTGGCTGTGCAGTTGTCGCGTGATGGGATTTCACACATAATGCTCCCAGTATCCATGTCGGGACCAATAGAGCACATTGGTCCCACTTTTGACAAGGTCTCTATGAATTATGGTTGAAAATATAATTTGTGACAATTGGAGCCCAACATTTGGTCACTGGCATTCAGACAATAATCCTGTCCAGTCAGTTTGATTTGACCTTATTTGAGACGGGCTGCCCTTTGTGAATCCAGTGATCAGGAGCGACGTACTGATCCATCGCTCCAATCGATTAGTCTGGTTGAGATGCACAGCCGTGCCATTCTCTGACCACGGCAGGTTTGACCTCCTGCTTCTGAGAAACAATTCTCCCCGTACGCATCCTAAATCAGCATCGCTACCGCGATTCGTTTTAAATATCATAACGACTGCACTCTTTACGCGGAGTACGGCGAAGCATTTTTTTACAGGAGAATATTGTCTCATTTGCCGCTTTGTCTCCAGCCAGACGGCAGCAGGCTACGCAGCCGCGACAGTAAAGGTTACATGTCAGTGGCTTTAATGCAGCGATGGCTGCGCATGTTAGAAACTGAATAAAATACTCCCCTGCTGTGTTGCGCAAACAACAAGCTGAAGAACGCCGTAGCAAGACCTTTAGAGGCAGAAGAAAGTCCTTCCAGGGAGTTCGGTGAATATTCCCTCGCTCGCTGAAGCCACAATGCCGGAGCGTCGCTGCCGGCCGGTGCTCGCTCTCCTGCATGTTCTACGTTAAAGCGACTGCAATCACATGCATTGGTAACCTCGTCAGGAGGCCATTACACTTGTCATGTTGCTCATGTCGCTATGGCTACTTTGCCGCCGCAGGCAGCGCTCAGTTCCTGCTGTGCACCAGGTCACGACTGTGTCATAATGTGCTCTCATCACTTCTACAAAAAGGACCAGAGAGAAAATGGGAATCCTTTTCCATCTCCCATACACCCCCCCCTACACCCCCCGGCCCGTCTCTTTAAAAGCTGGCCACTAGGTGGTGTGAGAGGTCAGCATCAGCGTCCTTCATTAAGATGTATATTCCCCTGCGCCGTCTCATCACACAAGGCGTGCAAGACACGCGGCATGTAGCCGATCCGGGGGGGGTGGGGACGGGCGCCTGCTCCTCCGCCATCCCCCTCAGACCCGATGCTTTCGCCACTCACCCCTCCTGTGAGGCGCCAAACCCCCCCCCGACTGTCTGACAGTAGCCTGAGGAGAGAAACAGAAGCGTTCCTCTCATCAGCTAATCAACCTGTGACCTGGAGCCAGAAAGAGAAAGACGAGGAGGCCTGGAAGAAGATGGAGGACCCCTTGGTCTGCCCCTAAAAAACAAGAGTTTCCCTCCTTTGATCCTCTCTGCATCCTGGCTCTCGGTGTTCTATGCGCTGCTTTTCTCCCACCTATTGCCTCGTTCAGTCTCACACGGTTTCTTCTTTTTTTCTCCTTCTGAGCGGCCGCCCCCCCCCCCTCTTTTCTTTCCCCGCCCGACAGTCAAGCAGATATGAATAATTCACTTTGATGATCAGGCCTGCAGTCGAGTCTCCGTGTGCTTTACATTAGCGCATGCGTTTGTACGTACGGAGCGCTCGTTCACTTTAAACCTGCGCCACGTGTCAGTTTGGATGTGTCGTTCTTGCGTGTTGGTTCAGGTGCAGGATTCGTGCAGCTTGAAACCGTCCAGACCCCCGACCCCCCGACCCCCCCCCCCCCAAGTCACCTTGTTGGTCAGCAGCGGCTTGATCTCCGTCAGCTGTACGTCCTGCAGCTCATCCATCTTTCTGTCACGTCACTGTAGAAACAAACACATATTGAATGCTGATAACAAGCATATGCAGTTAGAAAAGTAAAACATGCACAATGTGGGGATGTTTTTCTAGGGTTTTGAAAGGCTTATGAAAAGTAATGTGAACCTTTGGCTTAGAGGAAAATGAGTCACCAGTTCTCAAAGTCCAGGATGTCATATTCAAAACCAATGGTATAAAACTAAAATGTAAGAAAAGAGGAACTAGGAAATGACTGAAACAATTGGTGAACTAATCCATTCAGTGTGCATTTCACGCCGAAACAACCTACTTGCTGATTTGTGTGGGATTGAAGGAGGCGGCAGCAGGTCAACACTGAAACACTGACAGGGTTTCTCTCAGAAATCTGGTCATTTAGATTCCAAATTGGCACAGTGGGATACGTACATGAGGCTTTTCTTCTTTTTTATCAGTTCCACCGGACAAAGTGACACTTCCAGTCCGCGCAGGTAGTGTGAAAACCTGCTTTGCGCGCACACACACACACACACACACACGCGCAAAGATGGATCCGTTCTGGCTTACGAAGAAGAAGCGCTCTCACTGGAAGCCAGACGTGTGCCCCTCCCCCACTTCCCCTCAAATGGCACCACTTCGGCCTCTACCGTAGGCTGGAGGTGAGGACAGGGAGCGGTGTTGAATTACCCGCGCTTGCCCAGGAAGGGAGGCTCATGTTGCTCATTCTCTTACCAACTGGAAGAAGAAGCCAAACCGGCCTGCGGCGCATCACAGACGGCCTCCATACCAAAACGATCGCTTTTACCAGAGCAGATGCACGCACACGCACACACACACACACACACACACACACACACACACACACTCCTTGAGACAGAGAAAGAAGTACGGGCAGATTGAGCAGAGGCGTAGCCAGTCGGGAGGGACGGTTATAATCCCTCCCCGAGTCAGCGCCAACCCCCCTGGAAGCGACCTTGAGATGCTGGTATTGGATAACCTTCAAGGTTGGTTAGTGGTCATTCCCCAGCGAGATAACAGCGGAGAGGTAGCAGCAATGACGACGAAGCCCCAAACAACTGTAACCTGCGTGTTGCCAAAAAAAAAAAAAGGTCGGCCCAGACAGCTGGCTGTTGACGCATGAATCGCATGGAAACAACCGGGGAGGCAGATGGGTACAACGGAGCACCGTACTCAAATAACACAAAACAGCCAGGGAGAGAAAATGCTGAAAAAAACATCAACCGGCAGTATGAGGAGAGAAAACACGCCCGGCACAATCCCCGGTGACAAATCCGGCTCAATGGTGGAAGTAAATAATATTTAGACAAGCGAACAAGACGGGGGGGAGAAAAACAAATACTCTGCATGCTTGAGCGGATTGTGCGTATTGGCCGTGGCGTATTTCCTCGGCAGTCACAGAGAGTGGGATGGAGGCGAAAGCGGCTTTGAATTGTAAACAGCCGAGCCAGGTAATCGAGGTGGGAGACGGGGGTCCGTTGGCCTGACGGGTGGCGTTTCACAGCCCGGCCCCACTGACCCCTCAACACCGCGTTACCTGGGGAACTAAACACCATCTTTTGGGCTTCTCCCTTTGGGGCGGATCGCATTTAGCACCATGCACCATCACCAGCGCCCTTTCCTGCCTACTCCACGCCCGCTCTACCGTTCAGCATGCGCAGCTGTTGCCATAGAGACGAAGCTGGTTGCCGATGTTTATTCTGAGCCGGGCTAGCCCCGAGGGACACGCGCAAGGCAACGAGTCACCTCTGACTGGCATCATGTGAGCCGTGCGGATCGTCTACGCGTCCCAGCAAAGCGCTGCGCAAGTGGAACAGAAGATGAGGGAGAAGTAGCCCCACGCGGCCGGAGGCAAATTCCCTTTTAGCGATCTGTGCAGCGAGCTTTGTCCCGTATTCCCACCGAGCCACTGGTGAACGAGGACGGGGGAGGGGGGGGGGATGATGATGGAGGACAGGTCCCTCCGGCCTCGACAACGCGGAACCTTCTGTTGTGGGTTTCCCCCCCGACATCCGAACGCGCTTTACTCCCCCCTCCCGCGAAACGAGTAACGCGCCAGTTGGCGAGAGCTCTCGCCCATGATTTCACTCATCTGTTGTCAGGTTCCATTTCCCTGCAGGCGGAGGTTCAACCGCCTCGTCTCAGCGCCGGCTAATGCCACGCAGCGAGGGACGAGGGGGCGAGCAATCGGCCGAGGACGCAAACCGTGTCGGAGGGAAAAAGCCCACAAGGCCGCTTTTCTTCGCAGCTACGGTCAACCTTCACCACTGCTTAGTGTCGGCGCGGCCTCGGGGAGACTGAAGAGTTACACAAATTACTCATAGCAAAGACATGTTGAAATATGTCAACTTAATAAACGGATAACTTAATTAGCGCCGCCCCCTCCTCCGGCTCTAATTGGCGAGCAATGCGCATCTACCCGGCAACCAGTCTCTGTGGTCCCGAGGAGAGAGGACGTGCCGTTAGCTTCATGCTAAGCTGCATGGCGCCAGAGTGCGTCCGAGTGGACGCAGGTGGGCGCGCCAAAACGCCGTCCGTAGATGCTTTGCCAACACAAAGGAGTCCTGCAGCTGCCGTGTCAGTTTCCCGCTTCCTCGCTCTTTTTCCCCCCCGTCCAGCCGCCTCACCCTCGGGGCGATCCGAGCGCGCTGCATGATGGATGGCCGAGAAGCTGGCTGTGACGCCGACCTTACTGAAGCCATAACAAACCATCACTGCAGCTTTAGACAAATTGTGATACAACTTCCTAACAGGACCTTTGACCTCGAATTCATAAAAGAATAGACTTTCCCCTAAGAGGTAATGCTACATGGATACCACTTAATGCCCCGTACAGAGAGAACACTGCTGAGAGGTCACAGCATTTCCAGACTGAAGACGTCCTAACAGACCGACGGGACGTATAAGACGGCGCACTCTAGGTCTTAGTCTCCCTTAGAGCAGTTGGGGATACGAAGCCTGCAAAGGACTCACCTTAATTGGCCGCGTTAATCGAAACATCCGCCCCTTGGTTTCGGGGCGCGGCTAATTGACGATTGAATTCCAGCAGGAGGAAGTGGTGGTGTCGTCCGCCCGTCGTCTTTTCCCCGGGAGCCAAATTATTCTAACAAACGCATGTCTGTCCTCCGGTCACTAATGGGACACTTCCCCGGGCTTCACATCACAGCGGGAAATAGGGCCGGCACAAATTCCAACGGCGCTCCCCGCCTGCCATCAGAGGGACGGCCTCCTATGTGTGTTTGTTGTCAGGGCAACAGACGAGTCACTGGCGTGGTGACGCCTCAGACTTTTCCATCCCAGGGGAAAGTCAGCGGAAAGGTCCCACCGCGCCCAACTTTGGCCGAAACCTTTGCTTACGGTTCAGTCTGCCGAGGCAGCAAAGCTAACGGGCCGCGACAAGTCTCACTGCAGGATTTTGGGCTTTTTTGTAAGCGAATTAGAAGAGGAAATCGGTTTAGCAAACAGTCGGGCGAATGACAACCGAGGGGCGGCCTGTGATCGGGAGCTCTTGAACCTTTTGTTGTCCGTCACGGCAAAGCCGACCGCCTCCTTTCCACAAACGCACAAACACAGCTCAACGCGCACACTGCCAGGCACTCGCACGCTGCTCCCAGAGCTCCACGTCTACTTAATTAAATGACAGCTCGCGCTCCAGAGGCTCCATCATCCTCCTCGCGGCTCATACGATTCTCTTGACACAAGCTGACGGGTTTCTTCATTTCTTCCCCCCCTCTTTTCAAAATGTAACAAAAAAACGACTCTCTGATGTCTTCTTCAGTCGGGAATATAAGAATAGTCTTTTAGTATCTACAAGCCAAGTTAGGTAGCTTCAGGACATGATCCCACTCAGGTGTAGGTTCACATAACGCTGGAATACACGAGGATGATCACTAAATAAGAGCAAAAGAAAGGAAGACGAACAACTCACTCTGCATATTTAAGACAATAAATAAGAGGAAACAAATCATCCTCGGGACAGCGGCCTCCGTCTTTGATCCTACAGAGATTAAAAAAAGATCTATTAAATATTAAATACCGCATTACTATAATTAACTTTTTTTGGAGACCATATCTGAAGGCGAGCCACATTTAATACTCTCAGCCGGCCACAACTGAAAGTGATGAAAATCAAAAGAGGGTGTACTTCGATGGGACATGGAACATCTTCCCAACACAACAGACACACAAGTCCGACAGCATCCGTCCGTGGGAGGAGAACCTCATGCCGGCGTTGTTAGATTTACTCGGTGCACACGCCTTTGTGTCTTCATGCGTGCCCTGTCAAACTTAGCATGCATCAGAAAAGAACTCTACACGTACTACTTGATTGATGACCAGGATGAACATGAATGGTCTTGATCCCTGGTTTCAAGTCTTTAACGCATGTTTTGAAAAAGAGTTTTGTAAGACTTTTCATCTTCGACCCTTTCAGTGTCTTTCAGTTCATGACTCCACGTTCGGTTGCACTTAGCTCACCGTTTCCTTCCACTTCTGGTTGAAAAAAAAAGCCCCAAGAGGTTAATGGCCAAAATGAACTTGAGGCTCCATGACGGCAGTTAATTGGGTGACGTCGTGTTGGCTAAGGCTACTTTTTATTTACTGTGTCCCACGGTAACACATACTGTACATGCACGTAGACACATCCTGCAACGCAACAAGACCACACCCATTACTCGCCGGGGGCTTTTACAGAATTACCTTATTCCTCGAAGGACCACTTTATCTGCTAATGGTCTTATGAGATTAAAGCGTTTCATTAGGCTGAATTGATTTATAACCACGTGTCTACTGGCATCATCGGCATGCTTCACCTTTCGCATGAAAACGCACACAGACGCAGAGACGGAGAGACTGTGGCTTCGTCGGATTATTTGCCAGGTCTTCCAGTGCGCCAGTACGGACGCAGAGACCAACCGCAATATGTTTTCCCTGGTGAAGTCGTGGTCCAGAGCAGCAAACTGGAAACTCAATTTTTCCATTAAGCCTGTGTCACACAAGGAAGTACGTGTGGTCATGTTATGAATTTTGTGCAGGATGTGTGTGTGTACGTGTGTGAGGGCGGCTTGGGTGTGAGCTGTGAGCTGCCCCCCCCCCCGCTCAGCACCGTTAACTAGGACTTTGAACCAAAGCTTATGCTGAATACCATATATATATATATATATATATATATATGGTATCGAGAGCCTCCCGCAATACATAACACCAAACAGGAGGATTAACAGTGTACACACACAGTTTATACCTGCTGTGGCTGCTTGGACCCATAAACTGTGTGTAAGAAGTTTATGAAGTCACAGTGACATCACCCGTTTGTTTTATGGCCATTTGGCAGGAGCCATGTTTACTCTTTACAACCAGAAGTGGCGCTAAAAAAGACGGCCTCCCTGCAGCTAACGGAGTACCTGGCCGTAGCTCGCTACGCTAACCGCCGCTCAGCCCGTGGGGACGTCAACCTCCCCCCTGCTTAGTTGTGCTGATGGCAAAGTGTGTTTCCCAGCTGGCTGATGCGAGTGGGCAGTTTCCACAGCGGGGGGGGGGGGTCCTGCTGAAGGGCCCGAGCAGGATCCGTCATGCTGTTCCAACGTGGAGCGAGACGTCCGTGTAGGCCGGCCACTAGCGAGCGCACACCTCGAGGTGCCTGTTCAACGAGCTGCGGGGAAACTGAAGACACGCTCCCATGAAATATTAACGCGGCGTGCAGACATGAGCCCTGGTAAGGATCTCTTGAAACCGCCAAGCCCCTGAATCGGTACACGCGTGTCTCAGTGTGTGTGTGTGTGTGTGTGTGTGAGTCAGCGGCGGCGGTGGGCCGGTTTCCTCGCAGGAACACGCCTCTGCTGACACTTATCCGTGCGCTCGGCTCGGCTGTCTCAATGACGGATCTCCCGCAGAAACACACGGGTGGCTTCCTCGGGGCCCCTTATCTCGCAAACGCTCGCCCTGGAGGTCGCTGGTGTCCTTGGTAACCCCGCCCCCCCCACCACACGCACGCAAACAACGCCATCCTAGACTCCGCTGGGGGCGCCTCTGAAAGCAAATGACCTTTTGTCCAGTCCCTCTTCATCACGGCAACCGGCCGCTTTACCACACCGGCGCAGCCCTCATTAACATAACCGAGCAATCAACGCATCAAATGGGTTGAAAAGAAAAAAAATGTAAATCGCCAATTGAGACGCACTCACCAGGATCTGTGCAAGGGATATTTGAGCGTTTCATGATTGCCGCTTTTGGGTGACTTGAGTAGAAACAGGGGGGGTTGCCGTTATGGAGCCTCAAGTTCATTTTAAGCCCCCCGGGGATGCTGCATCTGCCAATTCTTCAAACCCCCCCCCACAAAAAACCCCCACTAAAAGCATTTAAAGTTTCCTGGGTGAAATGATTTGCGCCTACAACGAGACACTGAAGAAATCAGCATGCTGCTTACACCTTTGAGCGTATTTGTCTCAACGGCGGTGATTCGTCTCAGCGGAGAGCAACGCTTGGCTCGCGTCCAGCACGTTGGATCAACAAGCCGACCACCTGCGCCTCTGCCCGTCACCACCTGCCGATTCTACCGGCGCCGCGGCGACAAGGACAACGGAGACGGGCCGCGCCCCTCCCCTCGCTGATCCAGCAGATAAGAAAAAGGGGTCTGAAACCCTGGGTCTTGGACCCTGTAACTGCTGCACGCTAGCCCAAACCAGTGACCCCCCCCCCCCCCCCCCAGTCTCAGGCTGATAAGATGGCAATACTGAAACAGGAGACGGCTCTGCGGTCCAGCTGGGATGAAGGGAAACGGACCTGAACTTGGACCTGGAATGGGCGAGTCCAGTGACAAAAACAAACCCCCCCTCCAACTGCAGCTCCAGAGCTCGTTTCCCCAATAATTACATCAAGTCCCTCGAACCCGCGGGGGGAGGCCGACCGGTACACACAGTAATGCCGAGGTGAGAGGGAACACCGGGCAGACTGCCTGTCAGCACGGCGCCTTTAATTACCGCCGCCGTCTCCCCGGGGAGCGTCATTCCCTCACATGCCGACATTAATCCCTGCAAGGAATCCTCTTCCACACAAGAGCGCATCCCGCTTGTTATGTGCGCTGTAAACCCTGTAATGACGTGCGTGTAAGTAGTGATACCAGCTGGAAGGCTCCTCAACAGTGAGATGAAGAAAATACATCATACAGCATTCACTTAGTGAATGAATGCGATGTGGAGGGGCCGCTGCATTAGGCCGACTTAGTTGTCACTGTGAATGCTCAGTGTAGTTTGTTACAAGCTCTCAGTGCACTTGTGGGTGAAGAAAATCTTTAAAACAGTATTGTAGTAAATCCCATAAACCCATTTGAGATGATTTACTAAAACACATTTGCAGGAGACTTCAGACGGTGGCTTAATTAACAACCTGTGACACTCCCTTTAGTTAGGCAGTAGGTCTTCACTCTGCCTAATCATCAACCAGGGGCAGATGGCTTACAACGATATGGCAGCGAACCGCTGACCACCCACCATCCGCAGCTTCTCCAACGAACAAAAAAAGACTCGTTTACGGATCAACACTCGCTCGCAGCGGTCTTTTTGCGACAGTGTTGTCAATGACAACAGAAGCCTGGCGGTTGCTTGTTGTGTAAGCGCCGCTCAAGCCTCACGGATCATGTGACACTATCGTTGGTGGGAGACAGAACACCTGGAATCAACCCCCCCCCCCCAATTAGACAATTATAGACTATTATATACCAGAAGGAAGGCTGTCCTATAGAAAGGGGGTGTTCTGTGTGTGAGGTACTTAATAAAAGCGTTTTAATGACCTTCTAATTAAAGAAGGTATTTCATAGATGTCAGATAATGATCACCTCTACCGGTCAAAGTTGTTCCTGGTAGAATGTCTCCTTTCAAAGCATATCCCCAGATGACCCCCGATGACCCCGCTCTTACAACGTCCCACCTGGGTGACCTTCGCGTGGCCACCAGTGAC